CATGGAGGGTATATATTTTCTCCTGTAGGGGCGCTAATATCAGTGAACAAATTTCCGGTATGCCAATTTTCGTGCATGGCGATTTTACGCAGTCAAGTACAGTCAGTATACATACTGCAGGGTTGCTACACCCGGCCAAAAAACCGTGTACAGGATCATACGTAAGAACTTATGCAAGAACATTGACAAGTATTTTGTATGAACTTACATACGTTCGGCCCAAGGATTTGGAACAATGAACATATACAAGAATATGCAAATGTTCTTGCAAATATAACTCAAGATAACGAAAAACACGAGTTCTCTCTTGTGTACTTGTACAAGATCGTGTATAAGTTCATGTATAATTAATAATATTATCTTATTGTTAGCTTTTATTAACTTTTTTATTTATGCAAAATAGAAGAAAATTTTTAACATTGTCTTTAGTCACGCTCCGCATGTATGATCTAAAAATAACTGCGCAGCTGCAGAAGCCATAGAAAACTACTGCGCAGCCTTTAAAGTTTTTAATTAAATTGTACAGGACCTTGCATATGAACTTATATATGATTTGTACAAGTTCATGAGTCTAATAGATAGTTTTACTTACTCTCGGTATGGACTCTTATGCATGTTCTAGCACATGTTCTTTGTTCCAAATCCTTGGGCTGAACATACACAAGTTCGTGTGCAAGATCATCTTATCAACGTTCTTGCACATGTTCTTACGTATGATCTTGAGCAAGGATTTTCAGCCGGGCAGAACCTGGAAAAGTCAGGGATTTTTTAAAAAAGGTCTGGAATACCTGGAAAAGTCAGGGATTTTTTTAAAAAAAAGGTCTGGAATACCTGGAAATGTCATGGAAATTTGAAATGTCTGGAATTTTATTCCACTTAATATTTTTTACTACATTTTTTCTTTTAAAAAATGATGTCTTGGAATTCCTGGAAATGTCCTGAAATATCCTTGAATTTTCCATATTTTGCTTTTAAATATTCAATAATTTAAAAATTTTACTCAAATTTAAAAAAATACCTAATTTTTTTGATCCATCAAACAATAATTTTAATTTGTCGTTTGATTAAAGAATCTGATATCTATATATAATATTGATTTTTAACTCTTTTTATAATGAAATAAATATTTTTGTTCAAGTAGGTGAATTTAAAATCGTAATATGAAATAATATTACACATGTAAATGTCCTGGAAAAATAAAAAATATGTCCTGGAATTTTAAGTCATATTTTCAGTATTATAGACACCCTGTCTGTGCTTTAATAATCAAATAGAGATAATCTAACGTGAATATTTTTATAATACAGAAAAATTCTAATTTATTATTATTAGGCCAATTTTTCTTCAAAAATTGCTCTAATTTATAATGTTCAAAAGGTGACCTGGAAATTTATCAGATTTTGTACTGGAAAACCTGGAAAAGTCATGGAAATTTAAAAACAGACTTCTGTAGCAACCCTGATACTTCTCCTTATACTCCTTCATGATTTCCACTATTTAAAGTAGGAAGAATTTATTTGAGAAAAGAATAAACGGAAACAGAAAATTTCATATAATTTCTGCCGGTCGTTTTACACCTAAAGAAAATTAAAATTTTCTTCCATCTGCTCGACAACTATTAACTATTATTTTTGTCCATCGTATATTCTAGTCAACCTAAAAAGATTATCAGAAAGTTTAAATTCCAACATCGAAAAATCAAAGTTTGTAGGATCAAAAATGACATTTTAATTTTAATCACCCAAATATAATTATAAATACGGACGTAAATATGTCTGAATTTTGTGTATCATTTGCTTATATTTATAGTAAATGCGATCGAATTTACTATTGTTTTGCCCACATATTCTACAAGTTTTAAAGATATATGAAAAAATGCCTTTTTTAATTTATCTCATGAGATGACCCACTTACACGGAGAAAAATTTTCTGTTAATGATTACAATAGTCGAACAGTACTGCTCGGATATGTGACCACTTTTCGTAATGCCTAAAGTAGCTTCGTTGTAACAATTCTGTAAGTCGAACGTACTCATTAAAAATTTATTTGAAATAAATACGAACTAAATATGAGTTAGCACAAAGTCTATGTGACTGATTACAATACACGGAAAAAATTAATTTAGTACATTTTACGAAACTAATTTTGGAATAGCGGATACGGAGAGGAGTTTAGTATAAGATAAAACAGAATCAATAGTAATATATGATGACTGCGTTTCTCGAAAACTCAAAAAAAATTCTATGGAATTCACAAATGATCGGTTGGACGTTCTAATTCAAGAGTTTTGTAAAATGTTTAGCCAGAAGCGCATGCGCCACGGAAAAAAATATTCACGGAGAAAAAAACGAATAAAGCAGAAAAAAGAATTTCTTAATGTACCAATGAGCTCTCAAGACCATTTTTTCTCGTCTTCTATAGGAGATAGATGATTGGTTCGACACATGTGACTGCCCTCTACAACGCAATGGTTCGCTTGGATTGGCTTATTTTATTCTGACACTAACTTAACGGAAATACGCATACATATAAACGAATTCTGACGCAACGCACATACAATATAACTCGCACTTGTAGATGAAAGAATTGAGTTTCTTTATATACTAACTGAGGAGATTAAAACTGCGCTTGTGAGAAATGTCAATATACTGAATATTAATTTTAAAAAAAAATCATTTTTTTAAAAGTTATACAAAATATTTTATAGTTTTTAAAATAACATTTTTTAATTATAATGGGTTATAAAATCTCTATAAAATTTTTCAATTTTTAAAAAATAATTTTATTCTTAATTTTAAATTATAAATAAATTGCAAAAAAATTTTCAAAATTAAATTCAAACTCAAAAAATTTTAATATTAAATTGTCTAAAATTTGAAGTAATAACAGTTAAAACTAATAAAAATTAGAATTAATTAAAATTTATATATATATATATATATATATATATATATATATTGTCATCGGTAAATATTATGATAAACTATAAAATTTATTGGAATGTAAATTAAAAGAAATTAATAATAATGAAAAGTTTGGATTACAAAATCACATAAAAAATGTTACGAATTTGGAACAATGAAATGTGAAATACGTAAAAGAAAACAATTATCCAAATGTTACCGGCAGGTAAAGCAGTTCTCTTTTTCCTTCTATATATTATCTCTATATACAGCAGACAAGTTAATACCGACGCGACGAGACAAGCTTCAACATATCTATTTATAACGCGACTTTTGGTACACCCCGTATAGAATTTTACGAAACTCTGTGTTCGAGAATTCACGATAGACAGCGAAGTGAAAACTCAAACCACGCATTTTTAGATTGCACGAAACATTTTTACCATTTTCTGATAAAATGTTCACCAGAAAATACGAAACATTTCTACATTCAAGCTTGTTTTATAAATTACAACACTGGTTGCAGTTTCTCGAAAATTGTTCTGCTTAAAGTAGTGAAAGTTCCTGGGTTTTTTAAAAACTTCGTCAAGGAATCTTAAATATCCGCTAGTGCGAAATTAGTTTCGTAAAATCTGCTGAACTTATTTTTTCCGTGTAGTCTACGTTAAAAGGAAATCTTGGATTCTATCCACATTTGCAGCAATCTAAGGGAATCAGTGATACAGTCTGTAGTAGTCTTTACAACAGGACTATTGTAAAATAAGGTGACCGCGGCTGCCTTGCCTTCTTATTTTACTATAGTTCTTCGTAAAGACTACTATATTGCCATATTTCTGATTACAAATGACTGTTGTAAAGTTAAAAAAGAAAATTTTCAACTAAAATAAAATTTTTTTGTAATTCATGACTTCTAATCATGTATTGCACATCAATTTCACTCTTCCAAGACTACCCACTTCAAGATTAATTATATTATTAAACTAGACAATTTCACTAAACCCTATGTACATAAATCTAACTTAAATACTAAACGCATAACATAATAACGATCGCTATTTACACATATTTATACATGACTTAAACTTCCTTATATACTAACTGCTATGAAAGTTCACCGCTTGCGAGAAAGACTTATACACTTTAAATGTAAAAAAATCACTTCGTTCTCAATAATTAATACAATTATTGTTCACTGTTAGTCTTTAATATTGTAAGGTCTATTTTTTATTACATTTCCATAGTGAAATTTTTTTTTCTAACACACGCACCGAAGGTACAAGATTTCTTGCCTGTATAAATTGTTATATAGTTTACACAACTTACGTAAGTTACATAACTTACGCAAGTTACGTAAATAACAAAAGTAAGTTACACAAATAAATTACGTAAATTACGTAAAAATAAGTTGCGTAAATAATGTATGATACGTAAAAATATAGGTTACGTAAATAACGTAAGTTGCACTTACGTAAATAACTTAAGTTACGTAGTAGACGAATTATTGTAAATTGCACTAATTAGGTAACTTACGTACTTTACGCAAGTCATTAATTGCAAAAAAAATTTATTTTAGTTGAAAATTTTCTTTTTTAATTTTACAACAGTAATTTGTAATCAGAAATATAGCAATAGTAGTCTTTACGAAGAACTATAGTAAAATAAGAAGGCGAAGCAGCCGCGGTCATCTTATTTTACAATAGTCCTGTTGTAAAGGCTACTGCAGTATGTATCACTGATTTCCTTAGACCGCTACAAATGTGAACAGAATCCAAGATTTCCTTTTAACGTAGACTATTGTAATTATAACAAGTCTCTGCGTGAATGCCTACAGTACCCTTTCTGAACCTGTACATCTAAACTATATTAATGATTCCAAAAAATAAATTTCAACACGATTAATACAGTGTTTGGATTCATTAAAGTAACTATAGTAATCGCTCCTACTAAATTCTTAATAAATGACATAGTTTTCGTAATTATTACAAAAAGTGGTCACATATCCGAGCTGTAATATAGACTATTGTAATCATTACGAAAGAAATTTTCTCCGTGTAAAAAGTTTATTCAATTTCTTAGTTATATTTTCTATTTTTTAGGTATCTTCAGTAATAATAAGTTTCAACTAAATTTGTACATCACAACAGCATCATGATCAGAACAGTGACTCTCTGCCTACTATTTACACAGATCAGTTGCCAACAAGAGAGTTTTAATCTATCTGACATATTGAAAATGGAAGAAACTTTTAAAGATTCTATAGAATTCGTAAAGAATAAAGTTACAGATAAACGCGGGGTACTTTTTATTGGCATTGCTAAAGCTGGCAAAAGTACATTAATGAATTATGTAATTGGTAAAAAATTAAAGGCTGTAAGAACGCATAAGTTCGAAAAAATAATGATTACACAGGAAAGCGAAGGAGACGAAGCTCCGAAAATTGGTAACAAATCTACATCATTAACAACAATTCCAACAAAGTGGAAATCGGACAAAATTCCCGACTTTACTCTGTGGGATTGTCCTGGATTTAGTGATAATAGAGAATTAATACAAGACGTTACTAATGCCTTGTATGTCTATCAATTGATAAAAAGTATGGATGAACTAAAATTTACGTTGGTTATTAGTTATGATGCCTTTAAAGATGATAACATTCAACCCTTTCTAACACTTTTAACCCATCTTGCAACATTGTTTGGTAATAACTTTGAAAATATTTATGACAGCATATCAGTCATTTTCACAAAAGTGCCGTTCTCTGAAAATAAGGAAGTCGTTGATAATGAATATATTAACAGCAAATTGCGGGAAAAAGTTGTATTAAGAACTCAACTAAAAATCTATGAAAGTTCTCGAAATTTCGTCAATTATATAACAAATAATGAAGATAATATTGCCATATTTAGAAGACCAAAAAGAGAAGGTAAACTAACTTCTTGTGTTAATGATAACATAATGCCGGCAATTAGAAAAACAAAGAAAATTAACAACACCTTAATCCAAGATGTAAAACCAAGCTTTTCTGATACATCTTCTTTGTACTTGCTCGCAGGCCGGTCACAATTACTGGACATAAAATTATTTGAAAACTTAGATTATGTTATGTCAAATGTTCTAGAATCTTATGAAAAATATATAAATACAGTAAGGCCTACAGAAAGGCTAATGTATTTACGACCACTTCAAGTAAAACTTATGAATTATATCACGCAAATAAAATATTATAGTGATAGTAAGAATTATGCATTTGATAATATAGCATTGCTTCAAAAACTGCACAGTAATGCCAAACAATTAATAGAAAGCAATCATTTATTAGAAAAAGTAAAAGCAATTTCATTTATCGATATTGTTCTGAGAATAGAAAAAAACAATCATGTAACATTGAATGTTAAAAATATTATGGATCATTATCAAGCAGGTCTTGTAAGAATAATAAGGAAAATTATGTGCGTACTATATGGTGATATGTGTTTGAATTTGAATTTTTAATCTGTTCCCGCTGAAATGTTTTATCGGCCTCTGCCGTTTCTTTTTATGTACTACTGTTTTCAATATGGCGATAAAAAGATTTTCTCGCACACACGCTTTCGTCTTTTATTCGAATTTATTTGTGAAACCCAGCTAAAATAAACTAAACAAAATGGTCCTTCGAGCCGGATGGCTTAGGTGAAGTTATTCGGACGTTATTTGTGAAGTTTTGTGACAAATTGCAAGTTGAATCTAACAATCAAACTTTCTATTGTGAGACAAGACGGCGTGGTTAGATAAATGCGCAGTGCGTGCATTTAGACCTTTTTTACTTTGCAACGCCGTTACAAAGGCATACAAGTTTCGTTTTCGTTTACATTTGATACAAATAATTGTTCCTGTTTTCGCAACAGCCGTCACAAAGGCAATCACAACGTGGTAAACTATTTTACTTAACAAATTTGGATTACATTCGCACTACAAATCGCCAAACATCTACATTCAATAATTTGCATCGTTTCAATCTATTCAACACGTCAAACAATTGGAGATCAACAGCGGAGCGTGGAAGCAGACTTCCTGTAAAAAATAAATTATCTCATTTCGCATCCTGAATCAAGACGGGAAGTATTGACGCCATTTTCGAGCAGCGATCAACGCAAGGCGTCCCGGAAGGAAGGAGAATCAACGCAAAGGACACGTGAGCATTCCTAGTTCTTTTCCCTGTTCCTTGTTTCGTTTCCATTCCATCAAAATGGCCGAAATAAATCAATTAGTTAAAAAACGCGGTAGTTGTAAATTAAAATTAACAAGTTTTGCAAAACACGTCAACAAAATAAAAACAAGTAATCTTGACAATCAAATCCCATTAGTAGATGTCGTTAAATTAGAATTACAAAATAGAGTAGACAATATTAAACAATCTTTTGTCGATTTTGATAAAATACAATCAAACATAGAAGAATTGACAGACAATGAGGAGGACACTGTTGATTATCGCGAAACATTTGAAAAAACTTATTTTGAAAGTGTAGCTTTAGCTCAAAGTTTGATAGCTCAGGGAATTCCGGTTGATCGAGCTCCTCCTGGCATGCAACAACGTAACGCTCAAAATAATCAACAAGATAATGCATTGAACGTTAATTTTCACGCGAATCAACCACTAGGTGTTAAACTGCCTACAATTGAATTACCAAAATTCAGAGGCGAGCTCTCAGAATGGTTAGGTTTCCGCGACACCTTTTCTTCCCTTATTCATGACAACAACCAAATTAGCAACATACAAAAATTCCATTACTTGAGAGCAGCGGTCGAGGGTGATGCCGAACAAATTATAAAATCTCTCGAGTTCTCGGCAGCAAATTATTTAGTGGCATGGGAAGCTTTACGTACGCGTTTCGATAATACAAATCTTTTAGTTCAAAATCACTTGAAATCAATTTTTAACATCGAGCCAATTCAAAAAGAAAGTGCTTCCCAACTTCGACAAGTAGTAGACACTTTGAATAAACATTTAAGGGCTCTAACCGCTTTAAGATTACCCACTCAACATTGGGACGCTTTATTAATTTACATGATTTCCACTAAATTAGACAAAATAACTGCTCGCGCGTGGGAGAAAGAAAAAACTGATAATGAAATAATTACTCTCGAGAATTTGAAGCGTTTTTTAAAAGGTAGGGCAGATATGTTAGAAACTTTAGAGATTAACAATTTACAAATTGACAAAAATACAAAAATAAAACCTCCTCAATCTAGCAGCCAGACAAAAGTCAAATCCTTTCTGACCAAAAAATTAAATTGCTTGATTTGTGATGAAGATCACCACTTACAAAACTGCTCCAAATTTCTTTCACTTTCTCCTCAACAAAGAGTCGAAAAAATAAAACCTTTAAAAATCTGCTTAAATTGTTTAAGACCCAATCATTTCATAAAAGATTGCAAATCTCAGGGCTGTAAAAAATGTCAGATGAAGCACAATACACTTCTACATTTTGAAAAGGCAACTACTTCCGATGAAACAAATTCTTCCAGATTAAATAACAGTAAATCGGTGACGTCGTGTTGTATTAACATTGCAAATGATGGGGTCTTATCGACTGCTTCAGTCCTGGTAGAAAATTCAAACAAAAAATTGAAAACAGCCCGTGCTATTCTCGACAATGGTTCTCAAACAGGCTTAATTACCAAAAAGTTCGCTAATTTCCTCAATCTTGAGAAAATTCCAATCGATGTCACTTTAAATGCCGTCAACAATTTAGCGTCAAATATAAAATATAGATGTGTTGTACAAATTTCATCCAAACAGTGCAATTTTACATTCAAAATTTCATGCCTCATTGTCCCGGAAATCACGACTCATTCTCCGCATTCAGCAATTAAATCTTCAACTTTGGAAATCCCTTCTTATCTTCCTTTGGCTGATCCTGATTTTGGAAAATCGGGAAAAATCGACATATTAATAGGAAACAATATATTTTGGAATTTAATCTCGTTAGGTCAAGTGAAGTTAAACAATGAAGGTCTATTGCTTCAAAAAACAAGGCTTGGTTGGATTTTGGCAGGTCCAACGCCAAATCTGTGTTTAAACCCCGTTTTGAACACTGTCAATTGCAATTTAATTCAAACCTTAAATTTGGAGACGCAGTTAACTAAATTTTGGGAATTAGATGAGCATTTTGAAAGTAAACCAAAAACTCTTAATGACAAATATTGTGAATCGTTTTTTGAAAAAACCACTAAACGAGACGAAAATGGTAAGTTTATCGTTACTATTCCATTAAAAGGAAATCTTGATCAGTTAGGGGAGTCCAAAGAACAAGCTCTTCGTCGTTTTTTGAATTTAGAGAAACGTCTAAAGAAAAACCCTGAACTAAAAACCGATTATAACAATTTTATGATCGAATACGAAAATTTGGGGCACATGACTGAAGTACTAGACGAATTTAGTGTTCTTATATCGTATTATATACCTCAGCTTATAATTATCCGAGAGAGTAGTTCATCAACAAGAGTTCGTGTCGTTTTTGATAGTTCGTCTCCCACTTCGAGCGGAGTTTCATTCAATGATCTTCAAATGGTCGGTCCCTTGTTACAGGAGGACCTTTTTTCAATTCTCGTTCGATTTAGAAAGCACGTGTTTGTAGTTTGTGGTGACATCACAAAAATGTATCGTCAGATACTTGTCACAGAAGAACAACGCCCTCTTCAACGTATTTTGTGGCGTCCTGACGAAAACGGTCCAATAAAAATTTACAATTTAAACACCGTCACCTACGGCACCGCGGCTGCGTCGTATTTAGCTATTAGGTGTCTGCACCAAATTGCCCTTGATTGTGAAAATACTCTTCCAGAAATAGCAAAGGTTATTCAACATGATTTTTATGTGGATGATTTTGTTTCAGGCTCGGACTCAATTGAAGGAGCTAAACGCATAGCGAAAAAGGTTTTTGAAGTCTTATTGGCAGGAGGGTATGAACTCCGAAAATGGATTTCTAATGACCCGCGTGTCATCGAGGATCTTGTAGATTTCAAAAATAACGCGGAAACAATCAATTTTTCGAATGATGATCAAATTAAAATGCTCGGTTTGACGTGGCAAGCTAATTCTGATCGTTTACTTTATTCCGTTAATGTTTCGAGTAGTAACAAAATTACAAAAAGACAAATTTTGTCTGACATCGCGCGAATTTTTGATCCGTTGGGTCTTCTTGGTCCTTGTATCGTAATTGCGAAGATTTTACTCCAACGGCTTTGGCTCGAAAAGGTATCTTGGGATGAATGTCTTCCGGTAGAGATTAACGCACAATGGTTAGAATACAGAAGACAACTCCCAAATCTAAATGCGCTGTCGATTCCTCGACGTATAGTTTGTTTAGAACCTGCAAATATCGAAATTCACGGTTTTTCCGATGCTGCGAAAAACGCATACGGAGCATGTGTCTATCTTCGTTCGGAAGACGCGTCAGGTAACATTCAAGTGCAATTGATTTGCTCCAAATCTCGAGTTTCCCCGCTAAAAACTAAGTCTATTCCTCGTCTCGAACTTTGCGGTGCTCTCGAATTAGCGAAATTGACTGCTAAGGTTACAAAGGCTTTAGACACCAATATTAATAGTACTTATTACTGGTGTGACTCGACAATAGTTTTATGTTGGCTAAGAGCTCAGTCTGGTGCGCTCGAAACTTTCGTAGGAAATCGAGTCAGTCAAATTCAAGACTTAACAGAAATTGATTGTTGGAGACACGTTAGGAGTGAAAACAATCCAGCGGATTGTATTTCTCGAGGTGTTGCTCCGAATCTTCTCGCTAGTTTAAAATTATGGTGGCAAGGTCCTGAATTTCTATTTAACGATAAATCTGAATGGCCTTCCAATGTGGTCTTACCTGACGATGTTCCTGGTTTCAAAAAGGGCTGTAATTTATTAACAAAGGAAATTTGAATCGATCAATCTCTTTTCGACAAATTCGAAAATCTTCCTCGAATTATAAGAATCGTGGCATATTCCAAACGATTTCTCCACAATTTAAAATCAGAAAATCTCAAGTTATTAGGCGCTTTAAATCCCGTTGAACTAGAAGATGCAAAACTAGATTTGGTGCGAATTTCTCAAAAAAGAACGTTTTCGAATGAAATAAAAATGTTGTCTCAAAATAAAGTAATAACTAAGGGAAATTTGTCTTCGCTTAATCCTTTTCTTGACGATAAAAATATATTGAGAGTTGGTGGTAGATTGAACAATTCCGACTTTAACGAGAACAAAAAGCACCCTATGCTAATTTCTGCATCTGACAAATTTGCTAAATTACTTTTTGAAAACGAACATAGACGTTTAATGCATGCGGGTCCTCAATTATTGCTTTACACTATTCGTGAGCAGTTTTGGCCATTGGGGGGACGCAATCTTGCTAAAAATGTGACTAGAAAATGCATTACTTGCTTTAAAGTAAAACCGAGAATAACGAATCCTATTATGGGTGACTTGCCGAAAGCCCGTGTTTCCCCGTCACCTCCTTTCTATAACACTGGAGTGGACTACGCAGGGCCCTTCATGATAAAGGACAGAAAGGGTCGCGGAGCAAAATCTAGCAAGTGTTATATAAGCGTATTTGTGTGCCTTGCAACAAAGGCCCTTCATTTGGAGCTCGTCTCTGATTTGACTTCCGAAGCGTTCATTGCTACACTTAGACGATTTGTTTTTCGTCGAGGAAAACCGGGTCACATATATTCAGACAATGGTTTGTCATTTGTGGGAGCAAGGAATGAGCTCGATCAATTAGGAACCTTTTTAGCTCGAGAAAATGAAAATTTGAGGGATGTCGTACACGACATGGGATTTACTTGGCACTTTATTCCGGCTTATTCTCCACATTTTGGTGGAATTTGGGAAGCCGGAGTAAAGTCCACTAAGTACCATCTAAAACGAGTTGCCGGCAACCAAGTATTAACTTTTGAAGAGTTTTATACTCTTATTGTACAAATTGAAGGTCTGTTAAATTCTCGCCCCTTAACTCCTCTTTCCTCAGACCCACACGATTATTCTCCTTTGACCCCAGCTCACCTTTTGCTAGGGAGACCTACAGTTGCTGTTGCTGATCCAGATTTGAAACATCTACCCGAAAACAGACTCTCCAGGTGACAATTAATCCAGCAAATTCAACAGCATTTTTGGAAAAGATGGAGCCAAGAGTATATTTCCGAGCTTCAGCAAAGAATTAAATGGAGAAAACCACACCCGCAAATCAACGAGAATGCCCTAGTGTTAATCAAGGACAAAGATCTTCCCCCCCTAAGATGGAAACTAGGAAGAGTGATAGAACTGCATCCTGGCAAGGATGGAGTCGTTCGTGCTGTCACTCTTAGGACGTGTTCGGGCAAAACTCAACGAGCGTTAACGTCTGTCTGCCCGTTGCCGATCGAATAACGAAAGACTATGAAGTGAAAAAAGGGGATTTTTGTAAAATTATAATTATTATTATTTGCTTTTACTTCAAATTTAAATGTTCCAATGTTCCTTCAAATTTGTGAATTTAATGTGTTGTTTTTAAATTTATGTAAATTGTATTCACTCTTTGACGATTTATATCTTAATTTTGAAAGCTAGATCTTTCAAGTTGGGGGGCATGTTTGAATTTGAATTTTTAATCTGTTCCCGCTGAAATGTTTTATCGGCCTCTGCCGTTTCTTTTTATGTACTACTGTTTTCAATATGGCGATAAAAAGATGTTCTCGCACACACGCTTTCGTCTTTTATTCGAATTTATTTGTGAAACCCAGCTAAAATAAACTAAACAATATGTATGAGATTGCTGCAGAGATCATGGGCTATGATTAAAGTCACGGGGAAAAGCCTCGTTTTTTCTCTCCGTGTAGGTGTCTTATATTTTATTATGCAATGACTCAATATATATATCAAATGTTTTATAACAAGAATTATTGCTCCATGTAAAGAATGTTTAATAATATTAAAATATGTTAGTTTTAAAATTATTAAATTATGTTTAGTAATTAATATATATTTTTTAATGTGGTAAAGTAAGCAAATCACGTGAGTCCCTTTAGATATACTTTCATCGGAAACATAAACTAATTTTATAAGTTGGCACATCAAAATACAATAAAACGACGAATACATAAATGTAAATGAATACCTAAGGATTATTTTAAAAGTACATAATTAGAAGATTATACGCATTTGGAAAGTAAAGATATATTTAATTTCGAAAAATTTCCGCGTGTCAGGAAATTTTATTATTTTCGTGTCAGGACCGTAACTGCAAACGTACTTGCAGATATTTCAAGAGTGCCTTAATAAAATGAATTCAACAATATATAGAATGAAAGCTTAAAACTTAGGGGAGACTAGGTGCAGTTGTTACAATTTTGATAAAAACAGTTACTGTGATTAGAGTTTAACTCCAATTTGTTTGGTCTAACGATTAATTATCAAGTTTTAAAAGGCCATAATTGATTTAGCTTATATCTATTATTTAATTAACTACAAGCATTTGAGTGACAGCGTGTAAATTGTAACAACTGCACAAAGTGGATGTCGGTTGTTACAATACCAAAAATCATCTATAAAATTTCTAAATTGAAGACAAATAATTTTTTATAACCATTTTTATTAATTATTTATAATTTTTGGCTCAACGTAATAGTACGTGACAGTTCCATAGAGATGGCAGAATTAATATTGTTTCGAAATGAAAGAAATTTAAGAAAGTTTTTTTTCATTAATTTTGAAGACGAATTTAGAAAAACCATGAGATTTTTCATTAAAAATAAGTGTGATTACATTTTTGACAAATATTTTACATTTCAAACGAATCTGTTGAATGTTGGAAAAAATATCCGTTCTCATTATCACTTGTAACAACTGCACAACAGGTACATTTTTAACAATAAAACACTTTATTAAAAAAGTATACATTAAATGTGGACAACTAAGGCAGTTTTTTAATGCTTAATCCTCATAGAATTGATATTAAAAAAATTTACTTTGTTAAGTATAAAGGTCTATTAATTATTTAAAAAATATCAGGCAGAGAAATATTTACTTTTGGCCTCTAAAAACCAATGTGCCTATTTTTTTACTTGTAAAGCTTGCATATAATTTTTAAACATATTGCAGTAAGTTCGTACATAAAAACTAAACATTTTTCTCTTTGGAACCCCATCTCTATAATTATAACTAACTGTTTCTGAGATATTCCATTTGTAACAACTGCACAGCGTAACAACCGCACCTAGTCTTCCCTACTGAAACTGTGGACAGTTGAAATTTTTATGTTCTATAATTTATATTGAAATTATTGAAGAATATTGTTCCTGAATTCGACAGAGAATCCGGTTATGTCAGGACCGTAACTGATTCGGCACAATTAAACGAAGCTATAAAAATTTATCAAACTTGTACGCACATTCGCACAATTATTTTTTTTTATTTGTGTATAAAAGCACGCCTTAAAATTTTCAATAATTATCGAGATACAAGGAGGTACTTTAAATTTATATACAAATTTTTATTAATGTGCTAGTAAATTTTTTTTCAAGTCAAAAGTTAAAGGTTCCAGAGAATTGCCCATGTGACGATAGACTATTATCTCGGTCGAATATTTTCGATATATATATATATATATTTCCCACGGGAAATCTCTGAGATGAAAAGAGGAAATTTTTGTAAGTTAAAGGATTCAAGATCAGGGTTGTACAGTTGCGCGCAACTCAGAGTTTTTGACGTGAATTACATGGGTTTTTTACATTTGTAAAATACGTATTTTACCTCCCACCACAATAAAATGCATTGTGTTTAAAATTTTTGAGGTAATTTACGTGCGTAATATAAGTAAAAAAAACCATGTAATTTACGTTACGTATATATTACGTCTGCAACCCTGTTAAAGATTAACAATAAAGTTAATTTTTAGGTTAACGATAGCCGCCATTGCAAATAATTGCAAATAATTCGTGCCACCAATGTGTATGACCGCTATAGCGGCATCCCAGACAAAAATTTGGGATTGATATGCGTCTCATATCGCTCGCATGCATGTACAGATGCGTCCTCATATGAGACGCATTACGCTCGCATGTCATAAAGGTGCATGATGCATGAGAGTGAAATGCGAGTCTCGTGCGTTTTTTAAGGATTATTTATGATAAATATATTGTAAAAAATTAAATACAAAAAGCTAAGGTTAAATTTAAAAATGTTTAATTAAAATTTTTTATTTCAATAATATAAACCCACATAGCACAATAGTATGAGGTAAGGTTATGTTGAGTACTAATCGTAAGGCACATAAGGTTACACAATATTGCTGCGGTAGACCTGAGGTGAACTAAAAACTTCCGCCATGGAGGTAAGGTTACATGTTAGGGTGTGGTGAGTATATATGATAAGGCCATGGTAACCTTACACGTTAAGGTTAAGGTAACCTTACACGTTAAGGTTGATGTAACCTTACACGTTAAGGTTGAGGTAACGTTACATGTTAAGGTTGAGGTAAGGTTACATGTCAAGGTTGAGGTAAGGTAATTATTAAGTTGTAAGGTTGAGGTAAGGTTAAGGTAAGGTTGTGATAAATTTACCAGTTATGGAAAATATTGAAAAAATAATTAATAAATAAATATTCAATTAAAAAGTTAGTTTGTTGCTCCTCTCTATTTTGGAAACCTGACATGAAGCAGAAAATTTTGAAAACAAATTTGGGGGGACTGGGATTTGAACCCGGGATCGACGCGCATAAACCTATCATTCTAACTAACTGAGCTAAGTAGAGAACTGGTAGAAGGAAAATTAATATTGCCTTTAAGGAGTTAATCATCTTCTTGGTTCACCTTAAAGGCAACATTAATTTTCCTTCTGCCAGTTCTCTACTTAGCTCAGTTAGTTAGAATGATAGGTTTATGCGCGTCGATCCCGGGTTCGAATCCCAGTCCCCCCAAATTTGTTTTCAAAATTTTCTGCTTCATGTCAGGTTTCCAAAATAGAGAGGAGCAACAAACTAACTTTTTAATTGAATATTTATTTATTAATTATTTTTTCAATATTTTCCATAACTGGTAAATTTATCACAACCTTACCTTAACCTTACCTCAACCTTACAACTTAATAATTACCTTACCTCAACCTTGACATGTAACCTTACCTCAACCTTAACATGTAACGTTACCTCAACCTTAACGTGTAAGGTTACATCAACCTTAACGTGTAAGGTTACCTTAACCTTAACGTGTAAGGTTACCATGGCCTTATCATATATACTCACCACACCCTAACATGTAACCTTACCTCCATGGCGGAAGTTTTTAGTTCACCTCAGGTCTACCGCAGCAATATTGTGTAACCTTATGTGCCTTACGATTAGTACTCAACATAACCTTACCTCATACTATTGTGCTATGTGGGAACATGGCATTAATACTGAACATTTTTCTCTTTAGTCTTGAACATACATAACTTCCTAAATAACCTATAATAAACATTAGCTGAGATCATAATTCGTAATAAAAAATATAAACTTTTCAACACAAATTCAACAAAAGTCAACTGTATAATCTTAGATAAATATACTAGATGCGGCGAGGCGTTAGTTTAGGCACATGAATCCAGGGTGGCGTTAGTGTAGATCATGTGCCCTTCGTGTGCCTCTTATAATCGGACCAATCGGATTACTTCGTCAATCTTCGGTCTATTAAAGGCGGAAATGTTTGAAAATACTAACAAAGCGATCATTTCTCATTCAAATTTAAGATTAAAATTGTATACAATTTATAAAAAAAATTGTTGTTTTTCTTAACTATATATAATTAATTATAGTAAATTAAATTCTTTTATTTCGTTGTATATTTAAATGTGTGAATCCGGGAAAAAATAATGTTTTCGTGATCGCGTTCTCATCGTTCTCATTTAAAAAGAAATAAGAAAAGAATATTTTCAGTCAGGGTTTTTTGGTAAATATAGAGAAACGGTTTGATATCACGGTCTCATTTTGAGAGGATAAAATTTTGCGAGAAAATTATTTTATTAACGATTCAAAGTGGAGTAATTTGCGAGGTTATAATACATTTCCTTAGTTAAAGTCGCGGCCACTTCCGAGAATCGGCGCCACCTCCTTGACCACTGACACATAGATCTCACTTTTGCCAAAAATCCAACTTTTGTTATTTTGTTTTTCAATATTTATTTCAAAAATTACTTGCGAATTCCGAGAATATTCTTTATCATCATGAATTCCCCTAATTATCATGATAAATCGGAACTAAGTATCTCTAATTATTTAGGAGTGAGATATGAAACGCGGGAAAACACTTTTTGGGGGCGATTTTTCCAAACAAATGTTTTTAAACATTTCTCAATCAACAATTTTCAAAAGAAAAATTTTACATTTTACATTGATTTAATTGATCGGTCAATTAATCGGTTATTTGAATCAAATACATTTTTTTCAGTGTAAAATTTTTTCAGACAGAAAATATTTGTTTAAAAATTAAAAAATCTTTGCATTATAGAAATTTTATTATCGTTTATTATAAAGTATTCCTCATTTTTCAAACTTTATGTATTTTTTTAGCCTTTCCTATTCTATTAAACAAAATTTTTAAATTAAAATTCAGAAATCTAAATGATTTCCTCTTCAGGAAGTCTATCCAAAAAAATATACAAAATTAAAATAATAATAAAAATTATATACATGATTAAAATAAAAATAATTTAACAATAAATAAATAAAATAAAAATTAATGGATAATTATCTTACCAAAAAAAAAATATAATTAAAATAGATGAAGACTTAAATTTTTATGCCCTGACGATGGAGTAGAGTCTCGAGTAAAAGAAAATTATAAAAAAATTAATATTCATCAAATAAATTTAAAAATAATTGAAAAAAATTGTTTAAATTTAAAATTGTGAAAAATAATAATCAATAATAAAATTAGTAACAAGTTAATAACAAATTAAAAATTAATTAATAAAAAAAATTAAAATTTATGAAACATTAAAAATACAATTATGAAAATTAATAATAAATAAAAATAATAAATAGCACATGCAAAATAAATAATAAAATACCATAAATAAATAAATAAATAACGGTTCACAATACAATAATTTATAATAAAATAAATTAATAAAATAAAAATATGTAATTTCTCAAATTAAGTAAAAATATAGCTACGTATTTCAAACTGCAACGTCAAATTTAAAACTGAGCTCCAAACTCTATCGAGTCATTACATTATAATGAACATTATAATTATCTATTGATTTTTATTTTATTTATTTTTAAATTATTTTTATTATTATTATTTATTTTTTTGCCTAGGGAATTTTGGGAAATCTGCCTACAGATACCTTGGATTCTGCACTCCAAGGTTATGTGGGGTTATTTAACTAATTAAAAAAATTAATTAATAATTAATTTAATAATTAAATAAATTATTTTAATAATACATTTAATAACTAAATTAATTAATTTAATTAATAATTAAAAAATTTTGTTTCAATTAAAAAACTAATTAATAACTTTTTATTATATAAAGGAAATTAATTACAATTAATAATCAAAATATTTTATTTTATTTATAAGAAAGTTAATTAAAAATAATAATTAGGTTTTTTTATTTTCAATTAAAAGTTCTTTATTTTTAAAAATTTTATTTTAAAAAATTGATTTATTAGTTTTTATTGAAAAACACGTTGTTTTCAAAAAAAAAAGTAGTGATATTGGCGAGAAATGAAATTTTAGCCTTTCACGACTCAAAAAACGCGATTTCCAAGCGGTATCCTTGGAAACGGCGAAAAGTTGAAGAGGGCAGCACTAACATACACTGAAAATTTAGTATGCTATATATATCGGTAGTCCCCACCATCGACCCTCGCCGCATCTAGTATATTTATCTAAGGTATAATATAATAAATTAACAACTTGGACTGCGTCTAAAGGCGCACTCACAGCTAGTAGGCAGTATACAAATTTGAATTTACTGTCTCTTTCACTCTAATTGACTTTCTCTCTTACTCCAATTGCTGCCTGCACAGGCAGGCAGAGCTGTGAGTGCTCCATAAGAGCCTTTCTATTCGAAGCAAATCACTGATCTCTATATATAACTGGATGGGCGACTGTAGGGGAGACTGGAGCGAAAAGTTAAATTTTGCATAAATGATTTTTTTAGACAATATAATCCGCTTAGATGCAAATATTTATATATCAATATTGCAGGGCAACTTGTCCTCTACAATTTTCAATAAAAAAGTTTCTGATATTTTCGCATAAAATACATGTTTTGTTCTTTTTTGAAAATTTTGTTTTTTTTAACTTTTCGCCCCAGGCTGGGGCGAAAAGTTAAATGGCTGGGGCAAAATGTTAAATTCTATTTTTAGCCTACTAAAACTATTTTCTGATAGGTGTTAAGTAGTAGGTAAGTTAAAGTATACGTAAACAAGTAATTTAGTAAATAAAAGATCTTTGTTTATTTAACAAAAGCTTTAGAATAGTTGTAAAGTTAAAAAATTGAAATTTCAAAAAAAAAAAAAATTTTTTGTTTATTTCACGTAAACGGTCTTGTTTTTTGACAGAGTACTTGCCTAATGTCAAATAAATCATTTTTAAACAAATAAACCCAAAAAAAACGAAAAATAAAAAAAAAAATTTTTAATAACATGTAAAAATACATTTAACTTTTCGCCCCAGGGTGCGTTTTTGGCTTTAACAACAAATTTAGAAAATCTGACTAAAGATATTTAGCAAATACCTTTAGTTATCTCTTCAGGGGGCCCAAATAATGAAGTAAAAAAATCGCATTGAGAATAAATGCAAAAAATATACTTAAAAGTTGATATTTTCTTTTACGAAAAAATTTTCAAAAGTAGGGTGAAAAAAAATTTAAATATGGACACCACAAAAATTAGCAGAATGTCACATAACTCTGGACATTTATTTAAGGTGATAACACCCTTCTATTATTAAAATTGCAATGCTCTAACTATTTCCGTTCGAAAGATAATGAATTTTAACTGTTTTCACAATTTAACTTTTCGCCCCAGTCTCCCCTATATCTAAAACTGCAAAATATTAGAAGACCGGAAACGCCACATTTTAGATGCCCACTTTTACACAAATGGCGGAAATTTTTAAATATAAAAGTGAGATTGATATACGTTTTGCTGTATAGAAAAGTACTTAACTGATTAGCAAATTTTTTAAATTTAATAATTAATTAACCGTCAATTACTTTCTTAATTAAATAATTTATTATTCACTTATTTTAATTTAAAAACTGATTAATTAATATAGTAACAGAACTTTTAGTATTCAAACATTATATAAACTCAAATATTATTGAAATAATATTTTTATTTTTAAATAATAATTGATTCAAAACAATATTTTTTTAATTTGGTAAGGAAACTAAAATTATTCAGCATTACACTATTATGTGTTTAACAATACGCAAAAGTGTGTAAAATATTGTACGCAAAAAGGAAACAAAATATAACCTAAAAATATACACTTCAATAATATGTATTTACTGTTTAAATATGTACTTTCATGTGAAAAGAAACACCCTTTGCTTCTTTTTTTCCACAATATAAACAAATTAACACCTTGTCTGTGTTTTATATCACAAAAGTTAAATTAAAATTATTAAAGCACTTGAGATGTCAAAACATTGGAAACACACACACACACTATATCAAAAGCACACTCACACGGCAACTCACACAATCAAAGTCGCTCTACTTCCGTTCTGAAAAATTTCTACCGAAATTCGTGAGCGTGACGTCACAGGCTGCATGCACAAAGAGGCAGGAATCAGAGCTATGAAAACACCATAAGACCTTCTTTTTGTAAAGGCGTCTCCAACTCTATATTTTAATTTCTTTGTGGTTGTCAGGTTGTGAGAGTCGTTGTTGAATTTGAATTTCTGACAGTTAAAACCTTTTCTATTGTTTACAAGTTGATTAGTGTATTTTAAAATGTGTATATTGTGAAAATCCGGATTTATTTTTAAAAGCTTGTGAAAAAAGAAAGATATTTGCACTCGTAATATTGATCTGTAAATTGGCGGGATACATTATACCATCTCTTGTATGTATCTACATGCACTGTTATTCTATTGCCATGAAAGCATGAAAGTTTGGTTTAAAGTTTATTTATAATGACTGATTTGGGACTAATAAATACGTGCAACTGAAAGCACGTTATTCTCATAAAATGGAAAAAATGACAATGTAATATAATATAATTCTTGTATTACGACTATAAATTTATAAAAAAAAAATCTAATTTGGAAACAAAACAATGTAAGTAACTCAGTTTAATAATTTTAACTATTTAAAGTGTTTTGTATTCTATAAAATGATTTCTTGTCAAAGAAAAACTTTAGATTTCTAACATTTTTGTTTATTCAAAATTCTTTATGTCAATATACCGAATTTTGATTGTTTTGAATTTCCATTATCTGTACGTTTGTTTGTTCCTTTTATTCAATAACAAAATTATTTCATAATGCTAATTTCAATTCTTTTTTTCTCCTACTTTGAAGGATCGAAATAACTATTTTTTCTATTTTTTTCATCGAAAAATTAAAGTTTATAGGTTAGGTCAATTGAAGTGTTTTTAAATCTTTTAAATACTCTATAAGCTGATTATAATATTTTAATAATTACACAAAATTTATTATTAAAAAAATTCGAAGAAATTAAATTTATCGCATTTTTTGATTTTTAAATATATTAATAACTTTGCAATATTTGATCTTGTGATAAGTTCTCCAATAAGTAAATCTGTTCTCTAGAACCTTTAACTTTTTAATAAGAAAATTTTTTTTATTTCTTTTTAGCACAGTATTGAAACTCTGTCTACATAAACTTTAAGAACCAAGCTTTTAAATTCAGCAAGTGGACAAATAAAACAAATCGCCTTCAAAAAGTTATAAATTATTATTATACAAATTACAAAATTTTTTATTTTCAAATATGAATTTTTAACTAAACTGAGATTCAAATTAAAAAAAATCAAATATTAACTAATATACTAATTAATTATTCTTGTTTATTAATTTCAAAAATTCAATTATTTTTAAACAAAATTTTTATAAAATTTCACTAACAAATACAATTATTTTCTAAAACTTTAATAAATCCTTTGAAACAATTCAATTATTTTTTTAAATAGTAAAATCTTTGCAAAAATTCAATTATTTAAAAAAAAATTCCACGAAAGAATTCAATTATTTTCTAAAATTTTAATAAATTTTTCGAAACAATTCAATTATATTTATAAATAGTGAAATTCTTTGAAAAACTTAAATTATATTTCTAAATAGTAAAATTAATTGTAAAAATTCAATAATTTTATAAAAAAATCAATTATTTTCTAAAATTTTATTAAAAATTACATAAAATGTATTAATTCATTTTATTTGTTTATACAGGATCCCAATAAAACCTCTTGAAAATGGATCCAGACGATCTTCGGTAAGAATTTAAACTTAATTACAATATTGATGTGTTTCAAGTCCGCAACGTTTTCAGAAGCGAAAGAAAAAGAAGAAAACATGTATTATTTTTTAGTTTTAACTTTTAATTATTTATAGATAATTATCCTTCAAGAAAATGTTAATTTCTTCAAACTTTAAAATGAGTTAATTTTTTAAAAAAGTTTTATTATTTTAATTTGTTTTAAAAAAATCGCTTTTTATTATTCAATTAAATTTTCGCAAAGTATTTTTTTCGAAAATTCTGAAAAATAAGATTCTTGAAATTTTTCAATTTTATTGTTTCAAGTTAATTGAATTTTTATAAACGAATAATTGAAATTTCTTTGCATTCTATTAAAAGTAATTAAATTCTTTTAAAGAATTTTATTTAAATTTTTCGAAAATAATCAAGGGAAGTTAGTCACCGTAATTATAATTTTATTTTTTTAAATTTCTTCGCAATATATTAAATTATTTTCATAAATAGTAAAACTCTATCCAAAATTTCAATTATTTTTAATACAATTTTAATCAAATTCCTCAAAAAATGTAATTATTCTTAAAAATTTTCTTAAAATTCATCGAAAGAATTCAATTATTTCTAGAAACTGTAAAAAAATTCTTCTCAAGAATTCAATTATTTTCGTAAATAGCAAAATTCTTCAGATTTATTAAATTCTTTTGAATATTATTTAAAAAAAAAATTCTTCACAAGAATTCAATTATTTTCATAAATTTTCAAAAAATTCTAAAAAACAATTCAATTATTTTCAAAAGTAATAAAATTCTTCGCAAAAATTCAATTATTTTCAAAAATTTTAATAAAATTCTACACAAACATTTAATTATTTTCGTAAATAATATTTTTTGGAAGGATTCAATTACTTTTATATAAATAGTAAAATTCTTTACAAAAATTCAATTGGTACCAATACATTTTAATAAAATTGAACTAATCAAATTTTCCATTATAATTATAAACAGACAAGATTATTTTTAAAAATTGAAAAAATTCTTTGTTTAATTCAATTATTTTCTAATTTTTTAATTAAAATTAATAAAAAAAACAGTATTATTTTCAAAAAATTTAAAGAAACTCGTCAAAAGAATTTAATTATTCATAAAAACTAGAATAAAAATTTTTGAAGCCATTTATAGATTTATTTATGTTTGAAATCAAAGAAATTTAAATTTGATGAGAAAAAAGAACCGGAAAAAATTAGGACAAAGCCGGAAAAAACCAGAAATTTTGTTGAACGAAATTAGTAGACACCCTGCAATTGTAAATTTCGTTAAATTTTATCACAATTTTTAAAAAATAATCATATTTCAATTATTTTGCTTTAAAAATACTGTCACTTTTTATAAAATCGGTTTTTGTTATTTATTGATTTGATTGATTCTCATAGCAATGTAAATATATCGACTGTTTCATCGGTTTTTTATATTTAATTTTCTTTAGATTCTCAAAATCCCAAAACAGCGTCAACCATTTCAGTCAATTGTCGAGAAACCAAGTCTTCCTGAAGAAACGACAACAAACAATATCAAAAGGCGCGTCAGTTTCGCAGAAAAGAAGCGTGTAAAGTACGTATTAAAACAAAAATTTGTTTACACGTTCATTGTAAAGCAACTATTTTAATATTTCTGTCTTTTCTTTTTCAAAAGAGAATTTTGCGACTCTTTCGATCAAGGAATAGGGTGGGACAATACTTATGAGGAAAGTGATTCAAGCAATCAGAGGCATCTTCGTTCTTTTAGCACAGATCAGGTCACAATCACGGAATCACAATCCATTCATCAGTCTTCAGTCCTATCATTAGATAAAGAGAATCAAGTCGTCAATTTTTGCACATTTGAAGAAAAACACTGTGAAGTAAATTTCGATTCAACTGCGAAGTGTTCTCAAAGTTCGTTAGACGATAAATCCCAAAATGAAGTTTCAATAATAAGTTTGATAAGTGCAATGCAAGCAAATAAGGATAATTTAATTAACGCTAACGCCAGTGCAATGCAACAAGAAATTAGAAATGTTAGTTCTTCGCAAATTGTCTTTCAAGAAACGATTTGCGACAATGAAACAATGACCTTTACGAAAGCTTTGCCAAGCGTTTCACAGAATGATAAAGAAAATATCTACGTTCACTCTCAGGAATCGAATAAAATTCAAGATTTGTCGATGGAATTCACTGAAGCGGTTCCGAATTGTATTCTTGTAAATCAGGCGGACAGTGAAGAGAGTAGTATGGACCTGACATTGGCGGTTGATGGAAATAACGAAACGCTTTTAAACGACATGTCGATGGAGATGACAACAGCGATTCCTTTAAAACCATTGAGATTTTTAGATGTGTCCATGGAAATTACTTCAGCAATTCCTTGCATGCCAATTGTCGAAGAAAATCGTTTGCTGAAGCTCGCGCCTGGCGAGGATGATAATTGTTCAAAGAGTGTTCAACAAACGGCTCCGAATAAAACTCTGTCTCAAGATTTGTCCATGGAATTTACTAACGTGGTGCCTAGAAGTCTTGGGGAACTTTATTCCGAGAAAGGACCACCGAATAAAACTCTGTCTCAAAATATGTCCATGGAATTTACTGAGGCGGTTCCTAGAAGTCTTGGCAATTATAATTCCGGAAGTAAAACTCTCTCTCAAAACGAATCTATGGAATTTACCAACGTCGTTGCCCATTGTTCCAGAAATGTTCAACCGATTGTGGCTAATAAAACTCTGTCTCAAAATGTGTCCATGGAATTTACTGAGGCGGTTCCTAGAATTCATGGCCATCATTTTTCTGGAAATGGACCGCAGAATAAAACTTTGTCTCAAAATGTGTCCATGGAATTCACTGGAGTTGTTCCAAAAACCATTGACCATTGCTCGATAAATTTTCAATCGGTAGTTCCAAATAAAACCCTTTGCTCTCAAAACGAATCCATGGAATTCACTAATGTCATTCTGCAGAAAAATGAAAATAATCCTTCGGTATCTGAACCTAATCCAAAAAATTATCAAGTTCATGTGAGTTTACCGATAACGTCAAAACAACCGAATGTTCCAAATTTACCCCAAGTGGAACTAAATAACAGCAACTCTATGGAAACTATCGCTGCACCAATAAACGATTCTCCCGGCAAGTTAAAATCAACTGATCCTAATCAACTTTCAGAAAATGAAAATAGTTTCGACGCCATCGAGGAGACGGGTTTACTAACGAGCAAACGAAGAAGATTATCGAATTTGAATCCAATCGAGTGTACATTAAATTTAAGGAGTGAATCTATTTTGAAAAATGGTAGTCAACAGAATTTTGGACAAACGCTTCGACAAAGTGAAAATAATGTAAATCCAGAAATAACGGAACCTATATTTCATCACGATAATTCAATGACAGTGAATATGACTTCGAATATTCTTCAAATTAATGATGAGGAAATTAGGAATTTTCAAGAAGAAACATTCAATATCAAGGAGAGAGTTTCTCAAGTTTGTGTTCCTGCTGTAAATTCCGATTCCTTTTTAAATGCATCAGAAACCGAAATTCTAGAAAAGCTTAAAGAGGATAAAACAATTTCTCAAGTTTGTGTTCGTGATGTAATCTCCGATTCATTTTTAAATACATCAGAAATCAAAATTCTCGAACAACAAAAAGAGGATAAAGGAATTTCTCAAGTTTCCATTCTTGTTGTAAGTTCCGACTCTTTTTCAAATTCGTCAGATATCGAAGCTCTTGAAAAGCGTCAGGATGAAAGAATTTCTCAAATTTCTATTCCTGCTTTAGATTCCGATTCGTTTTTAAATGCGTCCGAAACCGAAGCTCTTGAAAAGCGCCAGGAGGATAAAAAAAGAAGTTCTCAAGTTTGCTCTCCTGATTTAAATTCCGATTCCTGGGAATCAGAAACCGAAAGAATGAAAAAGCGAAAAAAGAATGAATTTCAAGATGCTTCGAAAAGTATTTCTCAAGTTTGTGTCCCAGCCTTAAATTCCGAATCCATCTTAAATGCGTCAGAAACCGAAGCAGAAAAGCGTAAAGAAGATACAGCAGAAAGTGAAAATACCCAACCGACGATTTCACCAAATCCGGAGAATTCAAACAAAACAATTCCGATTCATGGTAACCGAAAAGAATTAAGAATCGAAAACGAATTATTAGAACACGAAGAACCACCTTCATTCATGTACTTCGATATGACTAATCAAATTGAAAATTCCGGGCAAGAAGTTCAGGGTAACGTTGAATTGGACCCATCGAAAAGTGCATTGAACACAAAAAGAAAAGCACCCGACGACAATGTGCCGAAAACTACAACAAATGATGCGAAACGATCGGAGCAAATCATTGAATTGATAAAGTGCAGAAGAACATTTGTTATCAATAATAGTAAGGACAATCAATCGCAAAGTTTTGAGAGAAATATTCAAAAAATGAACAACTGCAGAAGAACATTTGTTCTGAGTACAGAAGGTGGGAGTCAATGTGAAAGTTTAGTACGAGTAATGGAAGATGCAAGGGAACTTATATCGAAAGCAGAGACTGTATCCGTTAAAATGAATACAATAAATCAGAAAATTGAGTCAGTGTTTAAAACATTGAAGAAAATAAGGATACCAGAAAAAAATGTATATCATAGAAATACACAAATTGGAAATGAAAATTCAAAAAGTATTCAAAGTGGCGAAGGAAATTCTGTACAAGATGTAGTTAAGGAAAGTGGTAATGATGTTATTCGAATTACTGATCCTTCCGATTTCGATGAACCTTTCTATACATTTATGGAAAACATCAGGACTTATAGCAAGAGGTAAATTTAAATTTGTTTTTTAATTATCTATTTAAATCCAAATGTCCCTTTTAGTTCTTATACGTTAATTTTTACAAAAATATTTGAATTTGCAGTGAAACGAGCATTTAAAAGTAATCAGTCCAAATATGCAGTCAGGCTTCACAGTCTGTCCCCTATTTCCCTAAAAGTCCCCTTTTTTTAATTTTGGCCCCTAAATATACCCTATTTTGAAAATTTCCCCTAAATTTCCCCTACTTTTTTCTTTGATCAAATTGAAATTGAATTCTTGAAATTTATGATCGATGAAATTTTTCATGAAATTTATAAAATTTGTAAGATTAGTATTTTGGTGAAGTCAAGTCTGAATTCTGTTTAGAAGTTGGTTGTTTTTTTAATATTATTTAATTATTACAAAAGTTTAATGCAATTATCTTGATAAATAACAAAATTCTTTACAGAAATTCAATAATTTTTAGGAATTTTAATAAAATTCTTTACAAAATGCAATTATTTTCATAAATTACAATATTCATCCTAAGAATTCAATTATTTTCAAAAGTAATAGAATTCTTCGAAGAAATCTAATTATTTTTAAAATTTTTCACGAATATCTCGTGAAGAATTCAATTATCTTTACAAATAGCAAAATTTTTTGCCAAAAATTCAATTATTTAGAAAAATTTATAAAAATCTTTGCAAAAGTTCAATTACTTTTAAAAGTTTTTTGCAATTCAATAATTTTCAATATTTATTATTTTCATAAAATTTATCAACAGATTTAATTGTAGAAAAAACTTCTTGATACAATTCTACGAAAAGATTCAATTATTTTCATAAATAATAAAATTTCATTTACGAATTCAATTATTTTCATCGCAGAATTTCAAATATTTTTAATGAAATTTTAAATAAATTTCTTAAAAAATGCAATTATTATTAAAAATTTTTTTAAAACTTGTGGAAAGAATTCGATTTTAAGAAACATTCAATTATTCAATAAAACAATAAAATTCGTTGCAATAATTTAAATATTGTCATAAATAGCATTTAATTCGTCGCAGAAAATCAATTGTTTAATAAAATTTTTAAGTTATTTTGCAAAAGAATTCAATTAGCTTGATAAAAAAAAAATCGCTTAAATTCTTCCCATAAAATCAATTATTCTAAGGAATTTTAATAAAATTTTTTTCCAAAATTCAATTATTTTGATAAATATCAAAATTCATCACAAGAATTCAATTCTTTTGAAAAGTAATTAAATACTTTGCAGAAATTAAATTATTGTCAAAATTTTTTTAAAAATTCTTCTCAAGAAGTCAATTATTTTCAAAAATTTTAATAAAATTCTTCTCATGAATTTAATTGTTTTCAAAAATTATTATTTTAATTCTTGTCAAGAATTTAATTATTTTTAAAAATTTTAATAAAATTCTTCAAAAAGTTTTCAATTATTTTTACAAATTGATATAAAATTCTTTAATGTAATAAATTTCATTAAAATTTCAATTAAATTTCTTAAAAGAAATTAAATATTTTCAAAAGTTGTTAATACAATTCTTCGTAAAAATTAAATTTTAAGAAATATTCAATATTATTTATTTTTGTATTAAAAGAATTGATTTCTAGAAAATGTTAATTGAATTGAAATGATACAAATAATTTTGAAGAAATTATAGTAACAATATTCTTGTAATAATAAAATAATGATTTTGTCAGAACATCTCAAAATTTTGTTTTTTGAAAAAATGTAATTAGAATGTTCTGAAGATAATTGAATTCTCGTAAATAATTTTAAAAAATTGAAACATCTGCAAATTTTGACAAATTTTATTGAAATAAATTTTATGACTTTTTACTTTTTTCCTTTTAATAATTATTTTGAAATATAATCCTATATTTTTGAAGAATTCTAACTGAAAATTTGATTAGGATACATAATTATTTATTTTATTTTTCATGTATAGATTTCAGGAGAATAGTGTTTTAAGCGAAAAACTCGACAAAAAATTTATAATTTTTCTTTGTTTTAGGAATGATTGTATATGGAATTTACGATCTTTAAATAAAGAAATGTTGACTGTTAATTACATTTCAAAATCTTTTGTGGTTGTTATCAAATTAAATCAACCAAGCAATAATACGTTTCAAGATATCCGAAGTATTCAAATCGATTCTTTAATTTCAGGTAAACTATTATAAAATTACTATTTACATAAACTTTACGTTATTTGTATTAGAAACTTAAAAATATTAACTTCTTTTTTATTTTTTTTTTTTTTGAAAGCTCATTGTTATCCAATTTTCAAACTTCACATAATTTATTAGAAAAAATGTTAGCTTTTCAATGAAAATAGTAAAAAAAAAAAATAAAACAATTTTTAAAAAAAAAAGGAATTTAATTGAAAAAAGGGAGTTCACTTTTCACTGAGAAAAGCACCCTTCTATATTAAATGCAAAAATAATCAGTGTTTGTAGTGCTAAATATTTTGTAAATTTAAAAATCATTATTTTTGTAGATACATCGAATGATTTATTGCAAATGGTTCATGACTTAATAATAAAAAAATTACGTCCAGATGTCTTACTGGAGTCACATAAACTGTATAATGATGTCATTCCATTGTTAGAGGAAATTGCAAAGGAAGTAAAGTTGGCTCTGGATTTCATGTCCGAATTAGAGAAACTAAAAAATTTTCATTTAATGGAGGTTAATGTTAAACGGTAAATATGTTTCAAAAATCGCCATTGCATTCGATATAAGAAATGTTAATTTTTTCAATAAATATAAATACTCATTGAAAATATTTATTTTGCAGAATATCATTTTTGACACGGACTAAAAGAATGATAATAATATTAAAAGTGTCATTAAATATAAAACCATTTGATGAAATCGATGTAGATGATGTTGAAGTTGATTGCCTTCTGGGTAATATAAAGTGAGTAAATATATTTTTAAAAATTACATTATTGAAAATATTACAGTTTGTTAAGGGCATCCGGGAAATAATACTGGTTTCGTGATAGACGTCTCATTTAAAAAGAAAAGAATATTTTGAGTCGGGATTTTTTGGTAAATATAGAGAAATGCTCTGGGACCAGCGGTCCTCTCGGAATTTAGAGAAATTTTGATAAATAATTATTGAAAAAAATTGTTGAAATATACGGAAAAAAGGGTTTTGAACGGTTCAGTATAGACGTCTCATTTTGAGAGGATAAAGTATTTCGGGTTAATATTTGGAGGGGTGATAGAGGAAGACTCTCCGAGGAGCGGCCCTCTCCGTTTTTGCAATAATTTTGCGAGGAAATTATTTTATTAACGATTGAAAGTGGAGTAATTTGAGGTTAATACATTTCCCTCAGTTCAACTCGCGACCACTTCCGAGAATTGGCGCCACCTCCTTGACTACTGACACATAGATCCACTTGTCTGTGTGTTCGCCGCCATATTGCCTCTCACTTTCGCCAAAAATCCAACTTTTGTAATTTCGTTTTTCAATATTTATTTCAAAAATTACTTGCAAATTTCGAGAATATTCTTTATCATCATGAATTCCCCTAATTATCATGATAAATCCGAACTAAATATCTCTAATTATTTAGGAGTGAGACGACACGCGGGAAAACACTTTTTGGGCTCGATTTTTCCCGGATGCCCTTAACCGAAAAGTAAAACCTTCAATATCAGTTCATTTATTTAGCAAGAAAAATTATTATTATGGCATAAAGAATTAGCAAATAAATTTTCAATCTAACAAATTTAGAATTTTTATCACTGCTAATTAGAATTTGCACGAATTGTAATTTATTTTAATTATTATAATTATATTATATTATACAAAACTGTTAATATTCTAATAAAAATTTATCTTTACAGTGAAAGTGTAGTAAAGCAATTAATAGTAAATGTAAAAAAGGATCACAAATTTTTAAGAAGATTTATTAATGATGTAAAGGATTATGTGGAAATAATAGAGGAATTTGAAGAAAAATAAAAATTCGACATTAGTGTAAACTAAATTAGAAAGATGAAAAAACAATTACTTTAAATTAGTAAAAAATTTATACATAAGTGTACCTTATGCGACTCAGACAAGTAATATTTTTTGTACAATTAATAGAGTGTCAGTAAAATAAAGTAATGTTTCAAGTATTTACTTTTCGTTCTACGAGTTTAAAGATATGATTTTTTACTTATTATAATACGAACATTTTTTTTTTACAAAACACAATAAATTCTATTTTATTTTTTTAAAGAATAAAAATACTTTTTTAAAATTCTTGTCATGTGTTTCTTAACAAATTCCCTATCACATGAATATAAAATTAGCAAAAAAAAACAATTTTTCAAGTATTTCGTTAGAAGACGTAGACATCAGTGGTTTACATTAATAGTAAATCCCCTTTGTATATTTTTCATATTTTTATTCCAAAAGTTACAAACATAACCTAAAATTTTTTGCTTCTTAGACCTACCTTTCTTCGGAGAGCGTCACAAATATATTTTTATTTTTTTCAAAATTTGTGTCAAAATAACAAAATTTTTGAAAATAAACTGTGCCATTCGAAAGCTTATGAAAAAATCTATAGAAAAACCATGTCCCATTTTTTTCCTTTTAAGGTATAATAAATAATCAAAGTGGAGCGTGTCACGGAAAAGTTCGTAAATTAAAGAAGGCATTTATAAAATTTATTTTAGGAGATATTTTAATTAAAAAGAATACAAAACAAGCAATGTATGCAGAATACTGTTGAACATAGTAATAATAATTATGTTAAACAATGCAAAGTTCAACATAAAATTTACTTTTTTAATTTACTACATAAATTTAGCAATGCTTGCTTCTCCATTCTATAACAATGCCAATCATTTGATACTGTGATATCAGCTGCTCCTTTTCTTGAATAAAATTTTTGAGCTGGATTCCAACTTAAAACGGAAAAGTCCAACTTGCAACAATCGTTTTTTACTGCAAACTGCGAATAAAAAAAAACATGTATAGGTATTAAATTTTATGTTTTTAAATAAGAAAAAAATTAAAAAAATGTTACGAAGATATGTGACCGCGCTGGAAGAACGTTAATAATTTTGTAATTACCTGCACAACAGTGTCGAAAAGTAAACCTCCAATACCCTTGTTTCTATATTCTTCACATACGTAGAGATCCTCCAAAAATAAGGCTTTTCCCTTCCAGGTTGAATAAACATAATAAAAAATAGCATATCCAACTACTTTCTCCTGAACTGTTGCCACATAACTTGTAAACAAAGGTGGGGAGGTATCAAATCCATCTCTTACAAGATCTACAGAAAATTTGAAAAATATTGTTATAAAGATATATTTTTAACAACTAAATATCGTGAAATTTGTCAAACTCAGTAAATTCTATTTAAGAATAGAATTTACTGAGTTTGACAAATTGCAGATTCGAATTAAAAAAAAACTTGTCGAAAATTATAGTCTGATTTTTGGTTCTAAAGTTAAGTCAAATTTTATCGGCCTGTGTAATTGTTTTTTTTTTATAAAAAAGGAACGAAATTTTTAAAAGCATTATGATAGACGTTTACGTAATTATAATTCATAAATATCACCTTGGTAACTGATTTTCGGGCCATCCGGTTGTTTTTCAAAGTTGGCTAATTCCTGTAATTTGAATTTTTTATTTTTTCAGGTATAAAAATAGATAAAAATTGCTATTTTTCTTAATTCTATTGCTGCAACTATCGCGTTATGAATATAAAAAAAAACCAAAAGTTTTACAATAAACTTTAATTCACCTGTATTAGAGCTTTTATTGCTTCGCAATCTGATCTTTCTGCCGGCCGAACAATTGCATTTACATCTGCCATTTTTCCTAAATAAACGCAATAATCAGATTTTATTATATTTAAAATAGAAGTGTTTAATTTTTAAAGAATTTATTTATTTTTTTATAAATAATTTTATAAATAATTATTAATAAATATTATTAATAATATTATTAATAAATTTTATAAATAATTTTTATAAATTATTTTTTTATAAATTATTTTTTTATAAATTATTTTATAATTTTTTTTCTACGTGAATATTAAATAGATTTTTCAATTTATTTCTATTTTCATAGTCAATTTTCATTGTTTAAGACATAATTTGATTTTAGTTTATCAAGTTCAATAATTAAAATATAAAATATTTTCACGCTTTGTACGTGGCTACCCGATAAATTATGTTGAAGGTTAGGATTTTAATAATCATATTTGTCCAAAAGTTTGATTATTTTACAAATAAATTTATGTTAAAGGTTGAAAGAAGTTTTCTGTTTCGTATAAAAAAAATTAAATATGAAAATAAATTATTCACCAAAAATCGCAAGTGTTCGGGAAATTCTTTACTTATTAAAATTATTTTTTTCTAATATAGGTAGTAGTCAAGAATTTGCACTCTGGGTAACAAAAAAATTATTATTTATACATAGCGTTTTGATTATATATATAATTCAAAAGAATTATATGAAATTATACCCATTTATATACAATTCTATATTATAAGGATAATATAGATGAAATAATTATTCAATTATTGCTAAAATCTTCTATTTTTACAATCACTAATTTTTTTTTAATGAAAACTTACACTATAAAGAAAGAGATTTTAGTTTTTGTTTATGCACTTGCTGTAAACTACAGCATACGCTCTGTAATATACAGTAATATACTAAAGAGTGTGTTTAATGCGACCCTTGAACTTATCGTCTCTATACAGGATGGTGACTCATAAGATTACTTATCTTTCTTGAAATATGTACTCTGAGAAAAAAGGTGCTTATGCTCCAAATTCTCAGCTAAAAAATTACTCGTCATTTTAAAAACTTGCTAAAATTTTGTAAACAAAAATATTTTCTTTATTGTTTTCCCCAAAACAATTTCCTTTATAGAATTCAGAAAACTAGGGAGAAAACTATAAATAAATATGATAAAAAAACTTTTTTTTAAATTTTAATTTTTTAAAATGTTAATAATTTTGTAAACCCTTGTATAATTTAAATATAAATAAATAAACTTTGGTCAACCCCTGCCGTAAGGATATTTTTTTTCTTGCATCATTTTTAACCTGAAAACATATAAGATGGTCAAAAATATTTTATTTTAATGTTTGAAGAGGTTAGAATTTTTTTCTTCTGACCTATTGCATATTATTGCAAATCCATGCGAGAAGTTGTTTAGAATGGTAAAATATGCATGGAAAAAAATTTTCGTTAAAAAATATTAAAAACTGTAGGAGAAGATCGATTTTTAATATTCTTTAAATTTGGCCGAAATTTCGAAAGCCTTAAATTTTTAATTTTTGCTTCGAGTAAGGAAGCATCATGTACTTCTTTAAAAGAATTAAAAAATTCCATGGGAAAAGAATTAATCGAAATTCACTGGAAGTTTCGGAAGGTTACACAATTTTTTAGTAGATAAAAATCAATCATATTTTAAAGTCAAATTTTGAGACATATTCAATTACTATTGATGAACAATAAACAAAATTTAATCGTTAATTTTTTTATTTATTTAATATATGTGGGGCTAAATTCCTCAAGTGTCTCAAAACTTAAAATCGAATGTTTTCAAAACGGGATGATTTTTGCACAAACTTTAGTACTGTGGAAGAGAACTTTATCCATGAAATATTAAGAGATTTTATTAGAAATAATCATTGAAGTCTCAGCTTTTATTTAGGCCTTTAAAAATTAAAAAAAAAAAAGAATACAAAGCAAGCAATGTATACATAATACTGTTGAACATAGAAATAATATGTTAAACAATGCAACGTGCAACATATAAAATTTACTTTTTTAATTTACTACATAAATTTAGCAACGCTTCCTTCTCCATTCTATAACAATGCCAATTATTTGATACTGTAATATCAGCTGCTCCTTTTCCTAAATAAAATTTCTGAGCTGAATTATTCCAATTATAAACGGTAAAGTCCAACTTGCAACAATCATTTTTTACTGCAAACTGCAATTAAAAAAAAAACATTTATAGGCATTAAATTTTATATTCTTTAAATAGAAAAAAATGTTACGAAATATAATATATGACTGCGTCTGAGAAAAGGTGGCTTAAATTTTTTTTTTCAAAACTGATTGCATTTACATTATTAGGACCTTCAAGTGTAAGAAATCGTCAAAATCGATATTTTTGGGCAAAAAACTTTCCTTTCTCAGTCGCAGTCGCACATTAATATTTTATAGTTGAATCCGGATTACGAATCTAAAGTCAGATTTACAAAATTAAAAATGGCGGATTTACTGTGGCTGAGAATTTATTGATATATATATATAGGGGCTTTTAGGAGCGCTGATTATAAATCTGATATATTGAGACAATTTATAAGTTAATAAATTTGTAATTACCTCCACAACATTGTCAAAAAGCAAACCTCCAATACCCCTCTTTCTATATTCTTCACATACATAGAGATCCTCTAAAAACAAGGCTTTTCCCTGCCATGTTGAATAAATATAGAAAAATAAAGCATAACCAACTACTTTTCCCTGAACTGTTGCCACATAACTTGTAAACAAAGGTGGGGAGGTATCAAATCCATCTCTTACAAGATCTACAGAAAATGTGTAAAACATTGTTATAAAGATATATTTTTAACAACTAAATATCGTGAAATTTGTCAAACTCAGTAAATTCTATTCTTACGTCAGATTCGAATTAAAAAAAACTTGTCGAAAATTATAGTCTGATTTTTGGTTCTAAAGTTAAGTCAAATTTTATCGGCCTGTGTAATTGTTTTTTTTTTATAAAAAAGGAACGAAATTTTTAAAAGCATTATAATAGACGTTTATGTAATTATAATTCATAAATATCACCTTGGTAACTCATTTTCGGGCCATCTGGTAGTTTATTAAAGTTGGCTAATTCCTGTAATAAAATAGTATAAAAATAGATAAAATTTGCTATTTTTCTTTTCTATTGTCTACTATTGCGTTATGGATAAAAAAAACCAAAAGTTTTACAATAAACTTTAATTCACCTGTATTAGAGCTTTTATTGCTTCGCAATCTGATCTTTCTGCCGGCCGAACAATTGCATTTACATCTGCCATTTTTAATTGCGTCTAAAATCTTAAATAAACGTAATAATCAGATTTTTATTATATTTAAAATAGAAGTGTTTAATTTTAAAGAATTTGTAAAATATAAATCTTAATATCTTATTTTGCAATTTTTATTCCTCATGTAGAAATTCAATTTCAGTTGCTCTAAGTTATATATAAAAGCATTTTTAGTAAATCACTAATTTTTCTAATGAAAACTTACACTAAAGAAGGAGAACTTAGTTTTTGTTTATACTTTATGCACTTGATGTAATCTACAGCATACGCCCTGTAATATATACTAAAGAGTGTGCTTAATGCGATCCTCGAACTTATCATCTCTGTATATACGATGGTGACTCATACTATTAGCCAGGCTTCGCACTCCTCTACTAAAACCTACTATTTACTATACTTTTTTTTACGATTAGCTACTATTTGGATACTATTTTTAAATTTATGCAACTAAAAGGTACTTTTTTCCTTTTTTTTAAATTTGCACTACTGCAAATCCGCTAAATAGTTGAAATAAAAAAATTATTATCATCAATTTTAATAAAATTCTTCTTAGAGACAAATCAAAATTTTTTTTATAAAATTCCTTGAAACAATTCAATTATTTTCAAAAATTCAATTATTTAAAGAAAATTTGATAAAATTCTTCTCAAAAATTCAATTAATATCATGAATAATAAAATTTTCATATAAGAATTCAATTATTTGAAATACAATCTTAGAGGAAAATTCTTTGAAAGATATTTATTATTTTCAAAAATCTTGATAAATTTGTTTGTAAGAAATAAACTATTTTAATATAAATAATAAAATTCATCGTAAGAATTTATTAATTTAAAGAATAAGAATTTAATTATTTTTTACATATAATTTTAATTAGATTATTCGAAACAATATTGAATTATTCTTTTCAATTTTCATAAAACAGTTCAAAAAATTCAATTATTTACAAATTTGTTTATAAAATCCTTCGCAAATATTCAATTATTTTTAAATATATAATAAAAATTTTTCCAGGAATTCAATATTTTTAAAGAATACCATAAAATTCGTTGGAAGATTTTAATTATTTTTATAAATAATAAAATTCATCAGAGGATTTCGATAATATTTAAAATAAAATTTTTAATGAATTCCTCGAAAAATGTAATTATTTTCAAAACTTTTTTTGAAATTCTTCAAAACAATAAAATAAATCAATCATTTTCGAAAGTTTTTTGGAAAATCTTTGTCGCAATAATTCAATTATTGCGACAAATAACGAAATTCTTCGTTGAAATTCAAATATTTTTAATATCTATACTATTTTAATAAAATTTTTCAAAAGAATTCAATTATTTAAAAAAAAAATAATAAAATTCTTCTCAAAATTCAATCATTTTTAATCAAATTCTGAATAGATTTCTCAAAGAATAATAAAAATTAGATTTATAAAAGAAATTTCATTAAAAATTTTAGATTATTATAATTGAATATTAAATGAATAATATAGTTAAATTCTTTTTAAAAATTAAAATTTGTCAAATTTAATTGAAGTAAATTTTATATTTTAGAAAAATTAATTTTTTTAGTTTTAAAAACTAGTTTGAAATATAATCGAATTTTTGAAGAATTCCAACTGAAAGTTGGGAAAATAATTGTATATTTCATAAAAATTAAAAATTTAAGTTATTGTACCAAGATAAGAAAAAAAAGTGGATTTTTTTATGGATACGAGAAAAATGTCGCAGGGAAATACAGAATCAAATTTTTGCAATTTTTATAAATCGACTAAGACGAGTTTTTTAGTTGTTAAATTTAATTTTTTTGTATAGCTACTTTTTTGCTACTTTTTTAAAATTAATTATAAGTTAATTATAAATATAATATTTTAATAGTTTTGATAAGTTTATAAAAATTACTTTTGCAGAAATTTATAAACCTCTATACTGGAAAATTAAAAAAGCAGCAAATGTAAAAAATTCTAATTGCATTAGATCAAGAAGACTTCTTCTTGGCATATAAAGATAAATATCTTCTTTATTCGTTGAGCCGCGATTGTAGCTGATAAGTTGTCTGTTTAATTCCAATAGATGGGGACAGCAATCGGTTCTGTTTGTAATGATAATAAAAAGTAAAAACTAAATAAAGGAATCGAATGAACAAACAACCAGAATCACTCCTAGTCACTTCTTAGTCTGTCAAGAGCGGTTCTGACAAACGTGTATATATGTATAATAATTTGCGACATTTTTTCTGCTAAACAGAGCAGATGCAGTGCAATTTCTTTTGACATACATAGAACAACTATCGTATATTTGTCAAGTGAAAGTTGCGTGAAATTTCAATTTACCTGAATTTAACAATTTTCAATTTTAGAATTAAATTTTAAATTAATTGTCTTAAAAAATGAGTGCGATCAACCAAGATCTGCAACGCGAAAGAGAAAAGTGTACATTTCGTCCTGAAGAATTGACAAATTATCTCGATGGTAGTGTTCAAAAAACTATCGATCGTCGGGAAACAGGTGAATTTTTATTTATAATATAAATAGTTTTTTCTTTTTTCAACAATCATTTACTTTTTAAATAAAAAATAACATAATAATGTATTACAAACATTTTCTTAAAAAAAAAGATCGAATCAACTCTATGAAATAAATATTTCTTTATTTTTAAAACTTATAATATTTTATATCTAAATGGAAAAAATAATAATATGAATAATTTCATGTGTAGTATATTTTACGTGTCAATGAAGTTGTAAAAATTAATCTACATAAACTTAAATATTAGAATATGAGTGTAAACTTAATTTTTATGAATGCAGATAAATGTGAATAATTGTTATTTGAAATTTGTTTTTAATTATTTTTTCTTATAAATTGTTGTATATTGATTAAATATTTATAATTACGAAAGTCGTCAATCAATAAGGATGTAAATTTAATCTTTAATTAATGATAATGCAAAAATTAAAGATGATTTTCATTCTTATCTTAATTATTTCTATCCACAAAAAAGTTAAATTTTTATTATTTTTTTCCCTAAAAAAATTATTTTTCTAAAAATTTCTTTCCAGCAAAAAATGTTTTTATAAAAATTTCTTTTGAGCAAAAAATGTTTTTATAAAAAATTTTTTTTTTCAGCTAAAAAAATCTGTTTTATAAAATTATTTTCTCTTACTTAATAATCTTTTATTCAAATTAAATCTTAAAATGAAATAGTGTAAAAAAACTAATTACTGTAAATGAAATAGTAATTAAAAACGACTTCTTTATTCATTTTTTTTTTAATGAATATAATATTGAGTATTGAAAATATTTATCAATGATTAGACATTCTGATGGATCAGAATAATAAAAGTAAAAAAATAAAAAAAAAGTCGAAAAATTTTTAAAAATTTATTTTTATATCATTGCTTTTTTATAAATTAAAATCGTATAATTTATTTTTCAGTAAAAATTTATTTGTTAGCAATAATTTAATTGTTTTAAATTGTTATTGTCGGTAGTTTTTCTATATTTTAATAATGAACTACTAATTTATTGAAAGGCATGGAATTTCTATAAATAGGAGAATAAAAAATACTTTGAATCCTTTCAATGACCTGTAAATTTCGGCGAATTTGATATTAAATTCCTGGAAATTTCTTTGGGATCATTCACATATTTGATATTATGTCATAGACCTAGAGGTTCGTCTGTGAAAAATTGACAATCAAAACATGACCGTGGTAGGAAGAGAATTTAAAAACTTTTCTTTTTATTACGTAATACGAAAAGAATCTCTACATACTTTTTTAATAAATATAATACATATTTATAATCACGCTTTTAAAAAGTACAGAAACATATTTTTTTTAAATTTTGAATCTTATTTCTCAGATGAAAAATAATTTCCATTTTTACTACATACGTAAAAAGAGAATTCTTTATTTAAAAAAAGAAGATTAAAAAGTAATGTTAAAACAAATTAAAAAGTCACGTTTTTAATGTAGTAGGTATGTAGGTATTTAATTATACCAATGCTGGAAGATTACGTGTATAAACCTCCTCATTTCTAATACAAAAATATTCATAATTCCTAAATATAATAAATCAACAAGATTATGATTTTCTTTTCAAATTTTAAATGAATGATGAATTAATTTTCATTGAATTAATAATTCAGTTAATTAAGTCATTAAGATTTTAAATCGAGAACTTTAAGCTGGGTCCATTTGTATGAGGTGAAATTCCGTCATGCGTTATACGTTTCTGTGTCACAATCGTGTCATAATCACAAGTTACTAATCTGGACTTTTAAAATTGCATGTCATTCAGATAACTATATTTTGTTGAGATTTTCGTCGCAATATTGTTTTTTTATTTAGATAAAAATATTATTTTTCCTGTTGACATATTATTTCCCTTTAGATATTTCTAAAATAATTTACATGATTTAATAATATTTTTTAATTTCTTTTTTTAACTTTAAAGGTTTAACTTGAAAAAAGTTACAACTTTTTTAAGTGTAACTTCAATATCTAATGGTTAATAGTAACGTTAGTAACTTACTCCAAAAATGTGCTATCAGTTTTTTTAAATTTTTTTTAGATTTAAATTTAAATTAAAAAAAATTTTTTTTTAAAAATTAATGTGTATTTTTAAAGGTCACATTTTACCATATTCATTATTATGTCTATAAACTAAATTCACACTATATAGCTAACAAAAAATATACATTTTTATACGATTGAGAATTATGTGCTCAAAGACATTTTGAAAAATCGACAAGGTCATGCATTCGAACTATAATTTTATTCATAAACACTATAATGATGAATAAAAAATTTCTTGATTGAAAATGAATTTTTTGCTGAATGAGTTGGCCTTATTAATTCTTTGCAATTTCTAATGAAGATTTTTATTGTTAAATAGTCTATCAATCTTAATACACTACTGAGAATAAAAAGTTAATTGAAGCAAGTATTGTTTTTTTTAAACAAACCCATGTCATCGTTTTATAGAAAGAAATTTATTTTATTGCATATCAAATAGCTATTGGCATTGGGCAAAGTACTAGAATTAAAAAAATAGGCAAGTTTCATAAGAGTAAATATATATTATTAGAGTTCTACTTGGGTAAAATAAATTTTATATATTATGATATAAGTATGTTGATAAAAATAATTTATTTATTTAAATAAGAAAAATTTCTTTGAAGAAAAGAAACTTTTTCTAGGTGTAGTCTATTTTTGCCAATAAAAATTTAGATTTCAATAGAACATTAAAAAGATAAAATGGAAATGTTAAGTGTAAACTTATTATTCGTTATAAAAATGTCTGCAACAATGATTTGCAAACAATTCATTCAGAAAAAATGAAAAAAAAAGAGGCCAACACTACGCGGTATTCCCAAGCGGTCACCCATCCAAGTACTAACCGCGCTCAATGCTGCTTAACTTCGGTGATCGAACGAGAACCGGTGAACTCAGCGTGAAATGAGCGTTGGCTGAAAGTAACAATTTCGCTAAAGAATAAAATGGTGAACCGGAGAATCTACATAATATATTTATAGGGAGGAGTGGGATAAACCGGTCACACATGAGTTTACACTCAGGCTATACACTGTCAGGTGTAGTGTTATGTGTGCCGCTGATAAATTTACTGATGTTTAGCACATCTTATTTTCTGATTCTCGCTTTTTTTTACTTTTATTTCTGCTATTTCAGATTTAGAGAGTTGAATTTATTATACGAGTCTTAAAGAAGTAAACTCAGGGTGTCTAGCGAACCGGGAAATCGGGAAAAACCGGGAAAAACCCGGGAATTTGATTCGACCTCAAAAAACCGGGAAAAACCCGGGAATTTTCTATTTATAGGGTATTTTTTGAATTATGACATACAAAAAATTAAAATTTTTTTCAAAGCGTAATATAATAACACGGTCACAGCTCAAATCGTCAAGGGTAAATTGATAGTATGAAGCAGTAGTAAAAATAATAACTTAAATTTTATTTAAAACTAACTTTAGTACACGTTATATTATAAAAGTTAAAGGATTTTTACTATTATTATTTTTATATAACAATTTATAGGTATATAATACGTAACAAATTTTATAAGAAGAAATTAAGAATCTTCTGTGATATAGGAAAGGCAAAGATTTTACTTTTTAAAACTAAATATGGGGCATTCCATTTCAAAACGATCCTCCTTATAAACAATTGACATTGTAAGGCAATTTTTAAATCATTATTTCTTATATTTATTGAAGCCAAACTTTATTTACTATTAGTGGTTTTAAAACAAAAATTTCTCAACTTTATAATGGTAGAAAATTTTTTTTTAAATAATAGAATTTATGAAAAAAATTAAGTTTGAAAGATAACCTTTTTGAATATCTCAAAACACGTCGCATCCGATTTTTTTAAAACTTATGTCAAAATAAAGCTTAAATATTAAAATCCGATTTTTTTAAAACTTATGTCAAAATAAAGCTTAAATATTCTAGTTTAATTCTATGTAAACATTATATTCATGGTTTGAGAAATTAATTAAATTTTACAAGTATTTCAAAGGGTATAATGTATGTACCGAGCGGAATTTTTTTTCAAATTTTTCCACACTTCAACCTCTAACATCTTTGTAAAATTTAACAAATTTCTTAAATTCCCCTGAATTGACAATTATATTATAAAGTTGAGAAATTTTTATAAGGGAAATTTTGATATTCTATGTCAAGTTTTTAGAAATTATTGTATAACTTTAATCATTGTAATTTAATAAAACAACATTTAATTACGTAAATAATGTTATTGATAAACATTTAAATAATTATGTTTTTAAATCCTTTGTGAATATCCGGGAAAATTATTCAAGAACCCGGGAAAAAACCGGGAAAAACCCGGGAATTTTAAATTGACGAATCGCTAGACACCCTGAAACTCTAATATTTTAAGACACCGCATTCTCTCAGAGATAAAAGTACATCTCTACAGTTTGGACCCCAAACGGCAACTGCCCAAGCCATCCCTCGGAAAACCGCGCTAAAAGGACGCGCCAAATCCCAACGCCGTTCTGTCCTTGTCTAGCATAGACCATATGGTCCATGAACCGCCTAAACTTCATTGTCCTGCAAAGTCAGGCCTAAAATTGTTCTCGAGGAACATTTTCAAAATTTCCACTACGACAAGTTTAATTTTAAGTTTTCATTAATATCCAACTTTTTGATGTTACTAAAGAGGAAATCTGAGAAAATCGTTAAATTTACGTCATAAAATAGTCAAAAACTCTTTGTATGACACGTTTACCACTTACCATAATCAAAGCGACTTTTAAAGTTCTACAAGTTATATTTATAAGACTTTAAAAGTTACTTCCATACCTTTAAAAAAGAAAAATTCAAAAATATATTTCTTTACAATTATTAGTTTCTAATAAAAACCAAGTTGAAGTCCACAACGTTTATCAACGAAAAAAGTTTTTTAAAATAATTAATAGTAGAGAAAAAGGATAAAGCAACAATGCTGTCACAATAATTTATTGAAATAGGAGAATTTTATTTATATTTCAATAATAATTGTTGTATATTTTACAAAAATATAATATTCGTATAAATTAAAAAACTGTTTTCGTTGTTCAACGTTGTGGACTTTAATTTCCTTTTTAAAATACCAATAATTTCGTAATTTCTAATCGAATTAGGTTAAAAAGTTTAAGTAGGCCAATCAAAGCGTTTTTTAATGCTCTACAAGTTGGTTATGCAACTTTTATAGTTACTTCTACATTTTTTAACAAAATTTATAAAAAAAGTGTTATTTTTAAAAGTATAATATGTGTATTATAATTATAGTCTTTTAAGCATGAAATTATAAAATGTAATTTCTTTTTTACAGAGGAGTTTTTTTTAAAAAATCCAGAGTTACGTACGAATATTTCTCCAAAATACTTAAGTCACAAAGAAGTTTATGAAGAGGCTGTACGAAAAAGTTGTTTAATTCTGAAGAAAGTTAAAGAATTTCAAGATACGGGAAGGGGTGGGGACATTAATATTTATTCGTAAGTGAAATTCTTTTTTGTTATAAAATTTGAAAAGCATAATCTGTTATTTCAAGACTATAACTTACGTTAATATTTATAGTCAAATTTTGGGAGGAATGCTCGGATCAGCAATGCTGAAAGATGGCAATCCATTATCGTTACATTTTGTTATGTTCATACCGACAATTATGGGTCAAGGGACCACCGAACAACAGGCAGAATGGATAACTAGAGCGTGGTTCTGTAACATCATTGGCACATATGCTCAGGTAAATACAACAAAAGCAGTAAAAGAGGAATATAATGTATTTTTATATACAATTTATAATAACTCACACATTATACCTGTAAATAAAATTGCGAAAAGCAAATCATTTTGTCAGATAATAATAGAGGAACTATCTCTTAGACAGAATTAGGACATGGCACTTTTATCAGAGGTCTGGAGACAACTTCAACTTATGACCCCTCAACAGAAGAATTCGTTCTCAACAGTCCAACATTGACTTCTTATAAATGGTGGCCTGGTGGCTGTAAGTTTCTAGTAAATAATTTATTATACAGTGGTATCTCAATTATTAAAATTTCTTTATTAGGCTTCACAGTGCCCCTAAAAAGTATCTTATGGGAAATAGGGGACTGAAAATCAAAAAATAGGGGACTTTTAAGGGACCATAAAAATTGGTTAAATAAAGAGAAAAATATCATTTATTTATACACATGGTTCTCACAAAAATTTAACTTTATTTTTTCTGACTTTTCCCTGATTTCCCAACACAACTTTAACTTTTCCCCTCACCCTAAAGAATATTCTGATTCACTCTCAAAATTATTAGATACTCAAAAAAATGTTCTATTAAATTTATTTACAAATTTCTTCAAAAGTAAAATTATTCGAAAACATTAATGGTATTATTTAAAATAAATATTTCATCATTTTTTTACTCATTGGAATTAAGATGTTCAAAAATTTCAAATTCAAACCTTTTCAAATTTAACAACTCATAAGAATATTATTATAAAACATAAACATTTTATTATTATAAGAATATTGTTCCTGTAATTTCTTGAAAATTATTTGTATCATTTCAATTAAATTAACATTTTCTAGAATTTTTAACTAAAATTCTACTTTAAATCAATAACATCAATTATTAGGTATTCAATTAAACTTTTTCAAAAAAAATTAATTCTACAGAATTGTTAGTTAAAAGTACGAAAAATAATAATTTAACTCTACGAGAAATCAATTATTTAAATACAAAAATAAATATTGAATGTTTCTTAAAATTTAATTTTTGCGAAGAATTGTATTAACAACTTTCGAAAATATTTAATTTCTTTTAAAAAATTTCATTAAAATTTTAATAAAATTTATTATATTAAAGAATTTTATAACAATTTCTGAAAATAATTCAAAACTTTTTGAAGAATTTTATTAAATTTTTTAAAAATAATTGAATTCTTGAGAAGAATTTAAATAATAATTTTTGAAAACAATTGAATTCATGAGAAGAATTTTATTAAAATTTTTGAAAATAATTGACTTCTTGAGAAGAATTTAAAAAAAATTTTTGACAATAATTTAATTCTTGAGAAGAATTTTTCCTATCTATTTATAAAGATAATTTAATTCTTGACGAAAATTTTTTAAAAAATTTTGAAAATAATTTAATTTTTGGAAAGTATTTTATTATTTACTTTTTTAAAAGAATTGAATTCTTGTGATGAATTTTGATGTTTATCAAAATAATTGAATTTTGGAAAAGAATTTTATTTAAATTACTTAGAATAATTGATTTTATGGGAATAATTTATGCAATCTTGTTCTTTATCAAGCTAATTGAATTCTTTTACAAAATTACTTAAAAATTTTTTTAAATAATTGTTTTTCTGCAACGAATTAAATGTTATTTATGAAAATATTTGAATTATTGCAACGAATTTTATTGTTTTATTGAATAATTGAATGTTTCTTAAAATTGAATTCTTTCCTCAATTTTTAATAACATTTTTAATAATAATTGCATTTTTCAAGGAATTTATTTAAAATTGTATTAAAAATAATTGAATTTTTGTGAAGAATTTTATTATTTATAAACATAATTGAAATTTTGATCAGATTTTTAAAAAAAATTTTAAAAGTAATTGAATTTTGCAGAAGAATTTTGATATTTTTAATTGAAATTTTGAGGAGAATTTAAAAAAATTTTTTGAAAATAATTGAATTTCTGCGAAAAATTTTCATACTTTTGAAGATAATTGAATTTTGCACAGAATTTTATCAGAACTTTTGAAAATAATTAAATTTCCAGGATGAATTTTATTATTTATAAAGATAATTAAAATTTTGACGCAAAATTAAAAAAAATTTTTGAAAATAATTAAGTGTCAGAGAAGAATATTATTATTTATAAAGATAATTGAAATTTTAAACAGATTTTTAACAAAATTTTTAAAAGTAATTGAATTTTGCAGAAGAATTTTGATATTTATAAAGATAATTGAAATTTTGAGGAGAATTTAAAAAAATTTTTTGAAAATAATTAAATTTCCAGGATGAATTTTATTATTTATAAAGATAATTGAAATTTTGACAAGAATCTTATTAAAATTTTTGAAAATAATTGAATTTCTGCGAAGAATTTTCTTACTTTTGAAGATAATTGAATTTTTGTGAAGAATTTTATTATTTATAAAAATAATTGACATTTTAAAGAGAATTTTTTAAAAAAATGTTAAAAATACCTAATTAAAATTTTTTCTAAGAATTTTATTAAAATTGTATTCTGGATTGTTTGAAATTAAAGTATAAGTTGTCGAGAAATGTGATTTTCTTACAATTTTTACAATTTCGCGTTTCTTTTTTGTTGTTTTTCTAAAATTTCATTCTCTTATACTATTTTCATAATTTTACTAAAAACAACAGTTCGGTGTTTTTATATTATTAAATGTTTCATTTAATTAAAAGAACCATTTCTAAATAGTTGCAGAAAAATAAATAGATCAAGTAAAATCAATTGTTAAAAATTGTTATTTTGAACATTTATGATGTTGAGTCATTTAAAACAATCTGCGTCCTAAGGCTGTAAAGATTAGTTACTGCAACTAAATAGAGTAGTTAATTTAGTGTAAACAATTAATTTTAATTTACAGTGGGTCATACTGCTAATTATGCAGTAGTAGTTGCACAATTGTACACGAAAGGTGAATGCAAAGGAATTCATCCGTTCATTGTTCAACTGAGAGATGAAGAAACTCATGAACCACTTCCAGGTAATAGATTACTATAAATATTGAAATTGCTTCATTAATGTCGTTTTATTCTATAGACATTTGTGTATTTAATAATAAAAATAAATTTTTAGGAATTAAAATTGGAGAAATTGGGACAAAATTAGGAATGAATGCGACCAATAATGGTTTTCTAGGTTTTCAAAACTACAGGATACCAAGAGCAAATATGTTAATGAAGAATTCTAAGGTAATTCATTTTTAGAAATAAAGTGCGACTAGACTTTATTTTTATTTTATTTTTTTACTAAGCAGCACATCAGGAAAATTAATTTAACTTACGTTTAATAAAAACTATCCTCTGGATGGCTAAAAAACTATTTTATGATGCGAATTTTTCTTTCCAGATATTAGAAGACGGAACTTATGTAAAAGCACCGAATTCTAAATTGACCTATGGAACTATGATGTTTGTTAGGGTTGTTTTAATTAAAGATGCCAGTAGATATTTATCCAAGGGATGTACAATTGCAATTAGGTACAGCGCTGTTCGGAAACAGGGACAAATTCATTCCCAGTAAGTTTTAAAATACTTATTAGATTTTTCAAAAATTTTAATATTCAAATTCTTCTGAAATGGTGAATTATTTTCAAAAATTTCCCTCAGTTCAATGATTTTCAATAGCTACTATTTTTAATAAAATTTTCCAAAAGAATTCAATATTAATATTAATATTATTATTATTATTATTATTATTATATTATTATTCAATATTATTCAATATTTCAAAAAAAAAAAATTGTAATTAAATTCTATGCAAATATTTAATTCTTTTCATAAACAATAAAAATTTCATAGAAATTCAATTATTTACAAATTTTTTATAAATTTTTTCGCAATAATTCAATTATTTTCATAAATAATAAAATTCTTTTTAGGAATTTAATTATTTTCATAAGTTTGCAAAATTTCAATTACTTTTAATACAATTTTCAGTTGAATTTCTCGAAAAATGTAATTATTCTTGAACATTTTAGTAAAATTCGACAAAATTTCAATTATCTTTATAAATAATAAAATTCTTCTCCGAAATTCAATTATTTTCAAAAGCAATAAAATTCTTCGCAGAAATTCAATTATTTTCAAAAATGTTAATAAAATTCTTGTCAAAATTTCAATTATCTTTATAAATAATAAAATTCAACCTAGAAATTTAATTATTTTCAAAAGCAATAAAATTCTTAGCAGAAATTCAATTATCTTTAAAAGTATGAAAATTCTTCGCAGATATTCAATTATTTTCAAAAATTTTTTTTTAAAATTCTCCTCAAAATTTCAATTATCTTTATAAATAATAAAATTCATCCTGGAAATTTAATTATTTTCAAAAGTTCTGATAAAATTCTCTGCAAAATCCAATTATCTTTAAAAGTATGAAAATTCTTCGCAGAAATTCAATTATTTTCAAAATTTCTTTTTTATTCTTCTCAAAATTTCAATTATATTTATAAATAATAAAATTTTCGCAGAAATTCAATTATTTTCAACAATTCTAATAAAATTCTTGTCAAAATTTTAATTATCTTCATAAATAATAAAATTCTCTGCAAAATTCAATTATCTTTAAAAGTAACGAAATTCTTGGCAGAAATTCAATTATTTTCAAGAAATTTGTTTAATTTTCTCCTCAAAATTTATTCAAAATTTTCAAATAATTATCTGCAAAAGTAAGAAAATTCTTTGCAGAAATTCAATTATTTTCAAAAAAGTTTTTTAAATTCTCTTCAAAATTTCAATTATCCTTATTATAAATATCAAAATTCTTCTGCAAAATTCAATTACTTTTAAAAATTTTTGAATTGAATTTTCCGAATAATCGAAATTTCGTAAAATTGAATTGTAAACAAATAGATTTGAAAATTTTCAAAGAACTTTTTAAAAAAATTTTTTTAAATAATTGTTGAGAGTTTTAGTTGAAAATTCTAGTTAAATTAATAATTGAATTTGAAATGATGAAAATAATTTTGAAGAAGTTACAGTGACAATTTTCTTATAATAGAAAATAATGATTTTATCGAAGACTCTGATTGATTCATATTCTTTATATTTTATAATAATATTCCCATAATTTGTTGAATTTCAAAAAGGTTTGAATTTAAAATTTTTGATAATTCTAATTCCTAGGGAAAAATAATAATGATTAAATATTTATTTAAAAATAAAGTTATTGATGTTTTCGAATAATTTTAATTTTTAAGAAATTTGTAGATAAATTTAATAGAACATATTTTTGAGTATCTAATTATTTTTAGAGTGAATCAGAATATTCTTTAGGGTCAGGGAAAAAGTCTAAATTTTGTCTGTATATTTATAGAAATAAGTAAAAACTTGGATCCTTAGATGAACAAAATCTGTCGAAAGTAACGAGAGAATTATTCAAGGGGCACAATCAGTGCGTGAAACATCAGTGTTATTTTAGAAATTACGATAATTTTAAAAAAAACAAGGCAAACTCAAAATTTTTTAAATACATTTCTACAGCTAGTTTTAGTATACACAGAGTCTGAACTTGAAGAATTGGAATTTTGAGAATTATTATTAATTATAAAAACTTTTTTTCCAGAGGACATGAAACTCAAATTATTGACTATGTTACTCAACAGTACAAACTGTTTCCTTCGCTAGCAACGTGTTTTGCTTTACTAATGGCTGCGGATTATATATGGGAATTGTACAACAATGTCAATGCCGAATTAGACCAAGGCGAATTGGAGAGATTACCAGAGGTAAAAATCTTAAAATCAACTTTCATTCTTTTCTAATCTTGTTGTTGTTCCATTCAAATATATTCAGGAATTCAATTTGTAAAACATACATTCTTATTTTATCGTTTGTTTTTTATTTAAATGTAAATAAACCAACAATTAAAGCCAATTAAACCTGTATCTTATCTATTTCTATATTTTTACACTCTTATATTCCAAAAAGAAAAAAGAAATAATTTTCCTCATGAATACTTTAATTTAATATGCAGAAATGTCTATTATGATATTTTAATGTAGAAAACAATTTTTTATTTTCTTTTGTACCTCATTTGGCTAATACAAAAATTATTTTCGGTAATTTCTCATTTTTCTATAGCTGAATGAAAGTTTTTCCAAAAAAAATTAATTAAATTTATCTCTAAAATTGGTAAAAGCCGTTGTGATTCTAAATAATTACCTTTTTTTATTGCAATGGAAATTTATAATTTTATAATAGACAATAATTCATGATTATATTTTTTAAAAAATTTGACAAGACTGATTAATTGAAATAATTCTACGAAGAGAATTCTTTTTGCAGTTGCATGCTCTGTCGTGTTGTTTAAAAGCCGTGGCCAGTGCGGACGCAACGAATGCTGTCGAACTACTACGAATGTCCTGTGGTGGACATGGATACATGGATTCCAGTAATTTTCCAACAACTTATGGATTATTGACTGCCATGTGCACTTACGAAGGCGAAAATACGGTTCTCCTTTTGCAAACGGCGAGATATTTGGTAAAAGCTTGGAAACAGGCAGTTAATAGGGAGCCTTTACCTCCCACTGTCAGATATTTGGAAGCGGCAGCGAGAAGAGGCAAAAGAAGACCTTGGAAAAATACTCTCACTTGCATCATCATTGCTCATCAAGCGGTGGCTGCTGGGTAATGAATGTTACTTTTGTTTAAATACACTAAGTAGACACTTACATTGACTGCTATCAAAAACAGATTTCATTATTACAAAACTTTTAATGCAATTATCTTGATAAATAACAAAATTCTTCACAGAAATTCAATAATTTTTAGGAATTTTAATAAAATTCTTTACAAAATTCAATTATTTTCATGAATTACAATATTCATCACAAGAATTCAATTTTTTTCAAAAGTAATAAAATTCTTTGAAGAAATTCAATTATTTTTAAAAATTTTCACGAATATCTCGTCAAGAATTCAATTATCTTCACAAATAGCAAAATTTTTCGCCAAAAATTCAATTTTTTTCAAAAATTTATAAAATTCTTTGCAAAAGTTCAATTACTTTCAAAAGTAATAAAATTCTTCGAAGAAATTCAATTATTTTTAAAAAATTTCACGAATATCTCGTCAAGAATTCAATTATCTTTACAAATAACAAAATTTTTCACCAAAAATTCAATTATTATTTTCAAAAGTTTTTTGCAATTCAATAATTTTCAATATTTTACTATTTTCATAAAATTTATCAACAGATTTAATTATAGAAAAAATTTTTTGATACAATTCTACGAAAAGATTCAATTATTTTCATAAATAATAAAATTTCATTTACGAATTCAATTATTTTCATCGCAGAATTTCAAATATTTTTAATACAATTTTAAATAAATTAATTCCTTGAAAAATGCAATTATTATTAAAAATTTCTTTAAAACTTGAAACTATTTAATTTTAAGAAACATTGAATTATTCAATAAAACAATAAAATTCGTAGCAATTATTCAAATATTTTCAAAAATAACGTTTAATTCGTCGGAGAAAATCAATTATTTTCAGAAATTTTAATAAAATTCAATTATCTTGATAAACAACAAAATTCTTCCCATAAAATCAATTATTTTAAGAAATTTTAAAAAAATTCTTTGCAAAATTCAATTATCTTCATAAATAACAATATTCATTACAAGAATTCAAATATTTTTAAATTATTTTAAAAAATTGTAATAAAATTGTTTGCAACAATTTAATTGTTTTTAAAAATAACAAATGTTTTTACAAAAATTCAATTCTTTTAAAACATATTAATAAAATTTTTCTCAATAATTAAATTATTTTCCTAAATAATAAAATTCTTCCCAGGAATTCAATTATTTTGGAAAATTTTAATAAAATTCTTAACAACTAAAATTCAATTACTTTCATAAATATGTAATAAAATTCAAAGCAGGATTTCAATTCTTTTTAATACAATTGGACAGGAATTGCTTAAAAAATGTAATTATTCTCAAAAATTTGATTTTACATAATTCCTCGATAAAATCAATTATTTAAAAAAATGGTTTTTTCAAATTCTTTGAAAGAATTCAATTATTTACAAAAAATTCAATTATTTTTAGAAATTTTAATAAAACTCAGTGCAAAATTCAATTATTTTCAAAATTAATAACATTTTTTGACAAAATTTAATTATTTTCAGAAATTTTAAAAAATTCATTGCAAAATTCAATTACTTTCATAAATAACAATATTCATCACAAGAATTCAATCCTTTTAAAAAGTAATAAAATACTTTGCAGAAATTAAATTATTTTCAAAATTTTTTAAAAATTCTCGTCAAGAATTAAATTATTTTTGTAAATAGCAAAATTTTTAGCCAAAAATTCAATTATTTTCAGAAATTTATAAAAATCTTTGCAAAAGTTCAATATTTACTATTTTCACAAAATTTATCCACAGATTTAATTATAGAAAAAACTTTTTGATACAATTCTACGAAAAGATTTAATTATTATCATAAATAATAAAATTTCATTTACGAATTCAATTATTTTCATCGCAGAATTTCAAATATTTTTAATACAATTTTAAATAAATTCCTTGAAAAATGCAATTACAATTAAAATTTTGTTAAAACTTGAGGAAAGAATTCAATTTTAAGAAACATTCAATTATTCAATAAAACAATAAAATTCGTTGCAATAATTCATTATTGTCATAAATAACATTTAATTTGTCGCAGAAAATGAATTATTTAAAAAAAGTTTTAAGTAATTTTGCAAAAGAATTCAATTAGCTTGATAAACAACAAAATCGCATAAATTCTTCCCATAAAATCAATTATTCTGAGGAATTTTAATAAAAATTCTTTTCCAAAATTTAATTATTTTGATAAATATCAAAATTCATCAGAAGAATTCAATTCTTTTTAAAAGTAATAAAATACTTTGTAGAAATTAAATTATTTTCAAATTTGTTTAAAAATTCTCTTCAAGAATTAAATTATCTTTATAAATAGAAAGGGAAATTCTTCTCAAGAATTAAATTACTGTCAAAAATTTTTTAAAAATTCTTCTCAAGAAGTCAATTATTTTCAAAAATTTTAATAAAATATTCTTCTCATGAATTCAATTGTTTTCAAAAATTATTATTTAAATTCTTCTCAAGAATTCAATTATTTTTAAAAAATTGAATAAAATTCTTCAAAAAGTTTTCAATTATTTTCAAAAATTGTTATAAAATTCTTTAATATAATAAATTTCATTAAAATTTAAATTAAATTCCTTAAAAGAAATGAAATATTTTTAAAAGTTGTTAATACAATTCTTCGTAAAAATTAAATTTTAAGAAACATTCGATATTATTTATTTTTGTATTTAAATAATTGATTTCTCGTAGAGTTAAATTATTGTTTTTCGTTCTTTTAACTAACAATTCTGTAGAATTAATTTTGTTTTGAAAAAGTTTAATTGAATAATAATTGATGTTATTGATTTAAAGTAGAATTTTAGTTAAAAATTCTAGAAAATGTTAATTGAATTGAAATGATACAAATAATTTTGAAAAAATTACATTAACAATATTCTTGTAATTTAATAAACTAATGATTTTGTCAGTCGGTCATCTTTAATAATTATAAAATATAAAGAAATGGATTATTCCGAGTCGAAGACTCAGAGTGATCGATATCTTTATGTTTTATAATAATATTCTTATGAGTTGTTCAATTTTATTGAATTTGATTGATTTTGATTGAATTGCAGCTCTACCTCTGTATTGAGTTTTTGAAATTTGGGTTAAATTTTCTTACTTCACTTATTTTATTATTTTCAAATTAACTGTAAAATTTTTGACATAACAACAATTTAAAAATAATAATAATAATAACAAATAATATAATAATAATAAATTTTGTTGAACAGAAAAATACAACTAGCAGTGGAAAATATGGAAAGGCGTACAAAAAGCGGAATGTCACAGGAGGATGCTTGGAATGCAACGAGTATCGAATTATCTCAAGCAGCCGAATCGCATTGTCGTGTTTTCCTAGTGGAAACTTACATTAATGGAGTCAAGAGACTCTCATCACTTTCGAAGAACCTGCAACAAGTCCTCTTGCAACTTTCTGAAATATATTCAATTTACTGGGTTCTACAAAGAGTTGGAGATTTCCTGAGAGTGAGTAATAATCATTCACAACTTTTTTTTTTTAGAAAAAAAAACAGAAATTTTTTTGAAAATTTCTTTTATTGACCTGTAAAAAGTGTTTCATAGTTGGTACCTTTATTTTGTTATTCTTATTAATTTTCAAGCAGGGAAAGAGGTGGAAAAATATTTTGAAAAAATAAAATTGGAATTTTGAACGAGGTTTTTAATAGACACAGTGATAAATAATACATTAGTAACTCAACCTAATATAATTATTATAATAATGGAAATTCACTATAATTTCAGTTTTCCTGTCTCAATACTCAAGATGTACCTGTGCTTCAAAAGCGACTCGAAGAATTATTATCCTTAGTCCGTCCTAACGCAGTGGGATTAGTCGATGGTTTTGATATTCGTGATGAAATTTTAGGTTCCGCATTAGGTGCCTACGATGGAAACGTGTATCAACATCTTTTTGATGAGGCCATGAAAAGTCCACTCAATCAAAAGAGTGTTAACGAATCGTATCACAAGTATTTAAAACCATTCATGAAGAGCAATTTATAATAGAAACGATGAAATATAATTATAAGACGAATGTTAAGACTAGCAAGTGAATTTCAATTGTCATTCATACGTTTCTGTGGCTTGACAGTTACTTAGTTTATATGAGGTCGCGATTACGAGTTCACTTTTTCAAAACACAAAATGGCTGGTCCAATATGGCGGACGCATTTTTTAAAAAATCGATCAGATTCGCTTAAAATTGTAAAATTGAATTCTTCTAGAATCACTAATTAGTAATTACTAATTTGATGTTTGTTTTTAAAATATTTTTCATTAAAAAAAACTCTAGCAAACAAGTTTCATGCAATTCTGATTAATTTTTTATAAAACTTATTTTTAATTGATTATTGATGATAAATGATGATATTTGATTATTTTTATTTGATTTTTTATTCATTTTGAATTTTTTTCAATATAAGTATAGTTTTTCCATTGAATATTCATTCCAAAGATTGTAAATTAATATTTTTCTATTTAAAGTTCAATTTTATTCAAAATTTATTTTCAAAAAGTATATTTGATTAAAATTATTTAAAAACTATTGCTAAACGATGCAAAGTTAAAACTTTAATTTTTGTCTTCATTTTATGAATACTTCCTCATGGAAGCGTCTAATAAAAAATTGATTCTTAATTTAATTAATATAATTTAAATTAAAAATTCAACACTAAAAAGCCAAAAAGGAACTTTTTTTCAAAATTTTGATTTTAAAAAACTTTTTTAATGTTAATAACTTTGACTAACGCGACCGAAAAATGTTCAATAAACATTTTGAAAAATGTTTAAAAGATGCGTCTTGATGCCTCGCAAAAAGCGCTACGAAATTAAAGAAAAATATTTATAGGTCTCGGAACATTTTTTAAAAAATATTTGCATACATCATTTTTGGAAAAGTTTTAAAACACGAACAAAATATAGTTAAACCTAATGAATAAGATGTACAGACTACAGATTTTGTGACCCCCCTCGAGATCTACAATTTAAAAATAATTCATCGTTTCAGCTTTTACGAAACTTGAAATATTTTTAAAAAATGTAACGTTTACATACACTCACACTAAATGACAGGGTTGCCACGCAACCTGAAAACCTGGAAATGTCAGGAAATTTTATAAACCTTGAAAAAACCTGGAAAAGTCAGGGAATTTTGATTGGAATCTTGGAAAATTATTGTTTTCTAAAGTTATTGTGCTTATTCTTGAAATCTAATTTTTCTTTAATTCAAATTTCTTAATTCAATTTTAAAAGAGTTGCCTTTACCATTTTTCTTCGCAATAATTCAATTATTTTAATAAATAATAAAACTCATCGAAAAATTTCAATTATTTTTAATACAATTTTAATGGAATTTCTCAAAAAATGTATAATTATTCTTAAAAATTTTATTATAATTCATCAAAGAAATTCAATTATTTTGAACATCTTTCCTAATAATTTTATTTATTAGAATATAAGTATAATTAAATTTCTTGAATGAATTAAATTATTTTCAAAAATTTTAATGAAATTCTTTTTAACAATTCAATTTTTTTTCAAAAATAATGTTAATAAAATTCTTCGTAGAAATTTCATTAATTTCTATAATTTATCAAAATACAATTATTTTCAATACCTAATATTTCAATAAAATTTCACAAAAGAATTCAATTAGGTATTTAAAAAAAAATTAGGTATTAAAAAATTCGTCTCAAGAATTCAATTATTTTCAAAAATTTTAATAAAATTCTTGGCAATATTTCAATTATTTAAAAAAAATTTAATAAAATTCTTGACAAAATTTGAATTATTTTCAAAAACTTTTCTCAATTCAATCAAATTTTTTTACAGAGATTCAATTATTTTTAATACATTTTTAATCTAATTTCTTGAAAAATGAAATTATTCTTAAAAATTTTATTGAAATTCGTGAAAAGAATTTTAATTACCTATTTAAAAATTTGTTGATAAAATTCTTTAAATGAGAGTTCAATTTTAAGAAACATTCAATTCTTCAATAAATTATTTTTTTTGTATTTAAATAATTGAATTGTCGTAGAATTTTCTAATAATAATTGATTCAAATATGAATTTCAGTTAAAACTTTAGATAATAATTGAGTTTTGAAAAGGTTTCAAATTATAATCTTTGAATGTTTGAATTTTTTATACTTTTAACTTAAAATTGTGTAGATTTAATTTCTTCTGTAAAAGTACAATTTAATTTTTTTTTAAGTTATTTGAAGTTTTTATTTTCTAATATATATTTGATTGAAGAATTTCCCAATAATCGATGAAATTTCGTAAAATTGAATTGTAAACAAAAGGATTTGAAAATGTTGAAAGAAATTTTTCAAAAATTATTAATAATAATTAATTTAAAGAAGAAGTTTAGTTAAAAATTCTGGAAAACAATAATTGAATTAAAATAATGAAAGTAATTTTTAATAAGTAATTTTGAATAATTTTTAATTATTATAAAACATAAAGAAATGGATCACTCCGAGTCGAAGACTCGGAGTGATCGATTTCTTTTTGTTTTATAACAATTTTTTATAAGTTGTTTAATTTCAAAAAGGTAAGAATTAATAATTTTGTAAAATTTAAATGTAGTTTTAAAAACCTGGAAAAATTCCGTTTTTTAACCTGTAAAACCTGGAAAAGTCAGGGAATTTGAAATGAGCAAAAGCGTGGCAACCCTGAAATGGCATTGTGATTTTTGAGTTCCTGAAGGAAAAGTGAAAAAATCGAATTTGATTTTTGGTAAAACAATGCTTCCATAGGAAAGCGAAATATAAAGAAAGAATACTGATAGAAAATTTGATAGTGATAAAACGACACCAAAATTAATGAATTTCTATTTTATTATAATTAAACAAAATTATTCTCTTCTAATCAAGTAATGTAGGGATATTGTTTCTATTATTGTGATACCATGAGACAATAAGGAATAAATGTAATGGTTTTTGTTCTGACAATGAGAAAAATAGAAAATTTTATTTTTTTTATTTGTTTCAATTTTTGAAATCCGTTAAAAATTCATGTTTTCGATATAATTTTCCTTATTATCGTTTGCATTCATTCAACTTTATTTTGATTCAAGAGCTATTAAATTTAATGTACTTGTTGAAGCGCTATTTGGTTGCAACAAATATATAAAAAAAATGACATCGTAAAAGTTCGCTAATTTTATAAAAAAATTTTATAAAATAGAAAAAAATTTTATAAATGTTGTAGAAAAAGCGCATAATATAAAGATACAGATCGTAGGTAAATAATAAGCATATATTACCCGGTTTTTGGTATAACCATAAAAATAATAAATAATATTTAATATAAATTATAATGAAATAATAGAAATAAAAAACAATTATTTTTATATAATATTGCATACAGCATTATTGGAAACGTTTAGGAAATGTTCATTTTGCTTCAAGTTTCTATAAATGCTGTGTGGAATAAGGTTTAGGAAAAAAAAAACGCGGACAGGCGGGTATGAAAAAACATCACATTAAAATATTTAATCTTTTTATAGTTTTTTAACGCATTGCGTACCTATTAATAAGATTGTGAAAATGAAACATTTTTATACAAGTATTTGTTTAGTATATGATATTATGTGAGATTATTCATGTCAGTGCTCAAATTTTTACCGTCACTATATAAATTAATCTATATGTACATTATTTTTACGTTGTTTATTTCGAATATAAATTATGAAATATATTAACACTGTGTTATCATTTATAACATTACTTACGCCTACTGATATAATGTTCCCTGCACAAAAAATTTATGTTAATTTTTCTTTATAATATTAATAAGAATTTATTGTAAAAACTTGAGCAAAAACATTTTGAAAATTTGTTCCATGAATTTTTAAAGAATATAAAGTTGCCTATAAATCAACAAATGAAAATTTATTATCTTTATTAAAGTAAAAAAAATGGCACAAGAAACAAAATTTTTTAACGTTTTTTTCATTTTTTGTGTTAAATGCTGAAATGCTGTATAAATTGGTTAAAAATGATCTTTTCAAATTTGAAAAAAATACTTACCTCCTTATTTTATTCTTTATAAAAATAATTGAATTATTGCGAAGAATTTTATAAAAAAAAGTTTAAAACAATTGATTTTTTTAAAAAAAAAATCTATGCAAATTCTATTTTTCATAATTGAATAATTCTTGTGAAAATTTTCAATATTTTAGAAAATAATTTAATATTTGTGTAGAACTTTGTCAAACTTGTTTTTAAATAATTGAATTATTTTGGGAAATTTTATTAAAATAATAAATAATTATAAAAATTATTGAATTAAGACTATTTTTTGAAAATAATTGAAATTTTGACATAAATTTTATAAAAAATTTTTAAAAATAATTGAATATTATTATACTTTTGAAAATAATTGAATTTTTGTGATAAATATTGTTATTTATGACAATTGAATTTCTGCGAATAATATAGTTGATATTCAAAATCATTAAAGTGAGGAAAATTTTTTGAAAATAATTGATTTTCTCCAATTATTTGTAACTTTATCAAAATTTAATTTTTTTAAAGTGTTTTTAACTAAAGTTTTTCTATAAATCATTTATTTTTAATAATTCAGATAAAAATGCGTCTATTGTACATACAAAAGTAAGAAAAAGACTAAATTAAAATAATAAAGAAAATTTGGGTTCAATTAAAATATACTTAAACTAAATTCACAGTTAAATAAAAAAATAATAATGGAAGAATCACTAAAGAAACGAAAACATTAATTTAAAAATGAACAAATTTGTTTTATTTCACATGTATTTGTGTGAATGTGTAAAGACTCAATTTAATTAATTAATTAAAATCAAGTAATACATATATATATATATTTATATATATATATAGTATGTAAAATTAGCGTATAAGTAAATATCTGATTAAATATAATTTTTAATTATATATACACAATACAGTCTACTTAATATTTAATTAACCAATAATTTTTACAAGCTGGCATTAAACATACAATAATTAGAATCTTAACAAATGCAAGAAATATTAAGTTTTTCTAGATATTAAACTCCATTACGGATGTATTCTTTAAAAAAGAAAAAATGCGGTTAAAAACAATAAAACGTTATAAAAAAAAACGTTACACATTTTTCATTTTATAATAATTATAATGTAATAAATACAAAATCATGCAAAAATATTTAGAGACAAGACTTTTTATTTAAGAATTTTATGACATTCTAACGTCATTGAAGCTTAGAAATTTTCAAATGAACGTACTTTTTCCAAAAAACATTTTTTTCTTTTTTCCCAATAAACTTTCTTTTTACTTTTCAATTCAATAATCCAACAACATAGACAAGATAGTCGTCAGTTTAGTTGGAAATTGTTCATTTTCCATTAAATTGACATTGGAAAGATAATTTAATTTGAAAAAAAAAAATTTACTAAAAAAAATGCAGAAAATTTTTGTTTTTACGATTGAAATGCTTATTTTTAGTGAATTTACTCATTAGGTATAATAAATGCATATAAGTAAATGTTGAATCAAATATCAATCGGAACGAAAGGCGAAACCCGGAATTATGATTAATTGATCCGTAAGATTAAAATTACATTAATAAAAATTGTTAATAATATTTTTTTTTTTTTTAATTTTTAATTGAAGAAAATCTGCAAATTCATTGTATTGTTAATTTGAAAATCACTATTTTATCGACCAATGACGTTACACTGTGTCACACACCCTTAAAGTGAAATGAAATAAAATTCATAGCTATAAGCATTTGGAAAGAGATATTAATATAATATGAATAAAATCAAGACACAGAAGAATTTGATAATAATTGTTGAAATACGTCTGTCTTATTCGGTACAGTGTTTATTTACAGAATAGGAGCGACGACATGTAATATTAATCGTTACCATGCTAATGTAGTGCAATTATTATTAATTTCTGTTAATTAATAATAATGTGTCATTACTGTACGCGTCCGCGAGAGCGACGAGGCAATTTCTTTTTTTTTTTTTTTTGTTAGTCATCGAAAAGACGATTAAAGATTATACATTGAAAAATTTTAGAGATGAATATTTTGTCGCCTCGACGTATTCGTGGCCGAATTTAAATTACATATATGTATTATAAACCTCTTTCTAGAGCAAAGTCTATGAAGATGAATATAATATACAAATATATAATTTTTCAGTATACAATTAA